TGGTGGCAAGTTGCAAGGACTGCGGGGATTGCTATCACTAAGCAATGCAGCCATGTAACATGGTGCATTATGACCACATTGCTTAGTGATGGAAATTCTGTCCCAATTGCCATTGTAACACTATCTGTATAGTAACTGAGAACTAATGAGAAAAGTCAGGGACAGTTTTACAAACTGAGCTAAAAATTGTATGTTTACTAGTGTCTATCAATTCTGCAAAAAATTTATATTAGCTCTTGTTGACCACTGATAGAGCTGAATACTGAATGTTCTAACTAGACTTTTAAAATACAGTGTGGTACCCGTATAAATGACTATGAGACAATTGAATCCCCAGTTTAGAATAACCATTAATGGAACAACTGTCTGAATGGATTAGCTGCTTAAATACTGTACATACAAATTGTTTGGATGAAAATATACCCATTTGTCTAAAGTGTATTAGAAAAGAGGCACTCTATTTAGCAAATCTGCAGCCAGCTCATGCCTCAGCTTTACTCTGTATGTAAGAAGCATTTTCTAATTTTGCAGGATGGTTAGACATAATTTTGTTGAGGATTCCATATTGATTACTTTTCCTAACCTAAAAGAAAGATGATGTGTTAGAAACAGATACAATTATGACGAATGAATCGGAGAAAAAAACGTCTCCGTAATAGATACTAGATACACACCTTCTCTATGAAAATAAGTTACATTATTTCTTCATGGTTATTTCTTGCTTTTTTCTTTTTCGTTTCCCACTTGGAAACTGTTGGATTTTGTGGAAACATTGCTGAATATCCTCTCTTCTAGCCTCAAGAATGTTTGTGGACAATCTCACTTCGATAACACACATAGCTAATGATATTGTATTTCATTTCCTGCTTAAAAATGGTTTGAACTGCATTTCCATGCCATGTGTCTAGGGCAGACATGTCAAACACAAGGCCCGGGGGCCGGGTGTGGCCCGCGAAGTGGTTTCATGTGGCCTGCGAAGCCATCCTGGAAACAGTGAGGGAAGGCCCCCACTGCCTTGGCCTTGGCCTTGGCCCAGGCCAGCCGGGAGCTAATGTACAATTTTGTGGTGGCCATCTATGCTGAAACGCATTCAGTCTTAGCTCCACAAGGCCATCTAGAAACAGCGAGGAACCAGCCCCTGCTGTGTCAGCCCTGCCCCCTGGGTGCATGCTGGGGAGGTGTCACCCTTCGTGAGGAATGAAGAAATGGACCATGCCTTGGCACTTGCCCCAGTCCCACCCCCTTCTGCCAGAGACCCTCAGATCTCTCCTACTCCTGCCCAGGCCCCCACAGGCACCCTTGATGCGAACGATGTAGAGCTGGCCATGCCCACCCAGTAGGCCACACCCACTCCATCCACACCTACCCAGTAGGCTGCACCCATCCAGACCCCCGAGAGCAACCTCAATGCTGATGCGGCCTTCAATGAAATTGAGTTTGACACCCCTGGTCTAGGGCTTCTTACTCATAGCACTGGTTCAAACTTTAAAATCTCAACAGAAACTGATTTTACCACTATGATTCTTTATAACAGCAGACTTAATGTTTATGGGGATTCTCAATCATCCGAGTCATGGTTGACTCAAAGATGCTTTTTTTTTCAAAAGGCAACTGGACTGTTTTTGTTTTCCTTGAAGATGTTTCGCTTCTCATCCAAGAAGCTTCTTCCGTTCTGAATTAAGAAGCTTCTTGAATGAGAAGCGAAACATCTTCAAGGAAAAAGAAAGAAAGTCCAGTTGCCTTTTGAAAAAAAAACACCTTTGGGTCAACCCTGACTCGGATGACTGAGAATCTCCAAAGACATTAAGTCTGCCAAAAGCACAGTGGGGACAATGGCAGACTTAGTTTAGACCTTTTAACAATTCAGGTTTTGGGAAGGTTTATAATATTGCTGTTGGTCTACATGGGAACAGAAAGAGTTTGGCATATGATAAACAATATTTCTGATATTAATTCATTTGAAAGACTTACCTCTTTAGGGTCTGTGTGCACCTTCATTTTTGAATAAAGGGGCTCAATCACAGGGATTTTTTTAAACCCATAAACTCTATCACTATAAGCCATTATGAGCAATATAAAATGATAGAACATTGGACCAGCACTGGGATTAAGAAAGGAAATGCTACTGTATTTTGCCATGAGAAAATGACAATAAACTGGGGAGGAAGAGAATCTATTTTTTGCTACCGTTATTATGGATGCAATAAAGGTAGTCCTCAACTTACAACAGTTTGTTTAGTGACTGTTCAAAGTTACAACAGCACTGAAAAAAGTGACTTATGACCATTATTCACACTTATGACTGTTGCAGCATCCCCATGGTCACGTGATCAAAATTTAGATGCTTGGCAACTGACTCCTATTTATGATGGCTGCAGTGTTCCAGGATCATATGATCCCCTTTTGCAATCTTCTGACAAGCAAAGTCAATGGGGAAGCCGGATTCACTTAACAACGGTGTTACTAATTAAACACCTGTAGTGATTCACTTAACAAACGTGGCAAGAAAAGTTGTAAAAGGGGGCAAAACTCACTTAAAAAAATGTCTCACTTAGCAACAGAAATTTTGGGTTCAATTGTGGTCGTTAAATAGAGGACTATCTGGACAACTGGAACAAGCTAGGAATGGCTAAAAGGTTAAATTTCAGGATGTAGGTCAAATAAAAACCAAAGCCTGGATTGTCCTTCCTGCAAGAACTGATCATAGTTTAACTTGTATGGGGGAACAGAATAGAACGGAAATAAAATAAGTACTTCCGAAGCAAGTACTGTACTGTAAAAGCTCTCAGCTTCATAGAGTGGCAAGGAAGAAAAGGGGGCAGCTCCCTCTGCTGGCAGAAGTACTATCATGCGCAAGAGATAAATGATAGAAAGCGCAAGGAGAACATATTCTCTAAAACCACTGAGTAGCCGGGTGGCTGCAGCGTGTGTGTTTGCTCAATGGATTCTGAATGGTGGCGGCAGAGAAAGAAAAAAACTGGAAGTTTTCCCTTCTGAGAAGATTTTATTGTTTGTTTGTTTGTTTGTATAGTTTTATTTATATAGTTACTTAGCTCTAGGTGCCGAACAATCATCATACAGTTGCCCAGCGGGTTTGCTTGAATCATTGCTATGGAGAGTCAGAGGCGTAGCGTGGGGGGTGCAGGGGGGGCCGGCCGCACCGGGCGCAACATCTGGGGGGGCGCGCTCACACTCGCAGCTCTCTGCCCCTGCCTGGCTCACTCACTCTCTCTGCAGTGCTGGCTGTGCGAATCCGATCCGAGCCGCCGGGTCGCCGACGCCGCCCACTGTGGAGGGGGGGGCCTTGCCCCGGGTGCTGACAACCCACGCTACGCCACTGTGGAGAGTCAAAGGGGGAGGAGCCAAGGAAGGTCTTGCTCAGAAGGAGGGAGCCAGGCAGAGTTGAGGGAAGGGCTTCATGGGACTTTACGCAAAGGCAATTGCGGTGATCGTGCTTGCTGAAGAAATTGGGATTGGTTCAATATGAACCTTGCTCTTAAAATCTGCATGCTGTGTCTGTAGGATTGCTGTGTGAGAGTGAAGACTTGGAGTAAATCTTGGAAACTGATCAAAGAGGGAAGTAACCTGGAATTAAGGACAAACTTCCTGACAGTGAGGACAATTAACTAGTGGAATAGCTTGCCCCCAGAAATCATGGACGCTCCATCACTGGAGATTTTAAAAAAGAGGCTAGACCAGGGGTCCTCAACCCCTGGTTCGTGGACTGGTATCGGGCCGCAGCATGCCAGCAACTGGGCCGCCCAACAAGCAAAGCAGGCAGCACATAAAACCACCACCCCCAGTCCGCGGAAAAACCTCTCTCCACATAACCAGTCCCTGGTGCCCAAAAGGTTGGGGACCTCTGGACTAGAGAATCATTTGTCTGAGATGGGATAGGTTCTCCTGCTTGAGCAGAGGGCTGGACTAGAAGATCTCCAAGATCACTTCCAGCTCTGTTATTCTATTTTATTCTCTATTCTCCTCTTCTCTTCTCTCTTCTCTTCTCTTCTCTTCTCTTCTCTTCTCTTCTCTTCAAATGTCCTTGCAGGACCCTGGGGGGATTCCTTCCCCTTGAGATCAATAGCTTTAATGTAGTCTTTGTGCTTATGTTATACCAGCTGTAGGTCTGTATACTATATTTTAGAAGTAAAAGCTGCAAAAAAGTCACAAGAAGTGGAATAGTTCCTTGTTTCTTGATGGAAGCTCCAGAAGGAAGAAAATCATTATTTAGTAGGGTTACCAGACACCTCAACTGGGAGAGGAGGACATGGGTGGCGGAGGGGGAGGGGGAAGTGGACACAATTCTTGGCATCTGTGACAAAAATTACACCCAAAAGCTAATTTATTTAAAAAAAAAAGACTTTTATCTTTTCCAACATCAGAAAGATAGCTTTTTCAATCTCAATATTTTTTCCAACAAATCTTTATTTTCAAGAACATATGCTAATGACAGTATAGAATCAATCAGGCTTGTGCCAAATTTCACCACAGAAAAATATGAGATGTCGTGTGATCTATAGATTACAGTGATCATAGATTTGAGGAGACTGGATTCCTACTGGAATCAGGAAATAAATAATGTAGAATCTGGCTGTCATGTCTGTCGACTGATGAGAGAAAATAAGAACCAGACAATTTACAAGGTCACAACACAAAATTTTGATTGGCTGCCGTTGTGAAAGCAGATGGACACTATTTCATTATAAGGCTATGCTGCTGGACAGAGGACATGTGGAGAAAAAGGTGCTCTTCATTTTCATATTATTGGTTGGCAAGGAGATTCTTGCTTGGTTTGCTGCCATAAATTGTAACAGAAAGTCAGCAAATCATTTAGTGCAGGATGTCCAGGGGAGAAAATGGGCAGATGTCCTAATAGTTTGACAACCTTTCCCTGTGCAATAAATGATCCGGGAACAGGCTCACTGGAGCAAGATGGACGCTAGTCTTCAATGGCATGAGTTACTACTAATGTGATTTTTAGCATGATTTTTTTCTTGTAGTCATCCAGTGATGTGTTCTACTCTATCCTACGGGATCTGAGGGACATGGAACAGCAAAAGAGGTAAGCCATTAATTCTCTTAAAGCCGAGGCTTTCTCTCCCCCTGCCGCCTTATAATTCTAATGAAAATTTTTGCTTTGAGACCCTAAAATGCATTTTGCACTTGTGGGACACAGGACCCAGCATTTTATTGCTGAATATTTTTGGCCAACAATCCTTTTGGTTTCCCAAATGTCCTTGCTCATTTGTGGAGTAACCTTGCTCCAGCTAATTACCTTACAAATGTGTGAAAGCATTAGAGAACCATTTATGTTACTTATCTGACAGAAAAGTGAGATTAAGATATAAACTGTAACTCTGGCCAGACTTAAAACTTCATATACAGCCAGAGGCCTAATTCTGAAAGAAGATGGGCCACTCACGTACCAAATGATGATATGTTATTGCGATGACTAGTTGTCATGCCTGAATAGAGCTTTTCTGTCACCAAATGGAATCATTTTTCCTGTTATCATGGATGATATCTGGTGCCTGAGTGAGGAATATTTGAATAAATGACATCCACATATTTGTCAACATGCCAAAACAGTTCCAGGGTGCCAGATTCTTACAGGAAAACCCTGATTCTCTCTTAACATTTATACTACATATGAGAATACACTTTTGTCTTTGTATATTTTGCCGTATTTCCCTCTTGAAGCTTAAGAAATGCCTTAATTTCTAGAGGAAAGAAAGAATTCTCTCTTAAGGTATTATTAATACCATTCTCTGTGTGTAAATCTCTGTGTGTTTCTGCCTGGAATGAGGCTGCTTCATTGCCTTTTGCTCCAAAGGAGAAGTTTGACTACTTTATCTTCTCCAAGCATGAGGAAGTACTTGTCCTCTCTCACTGGTACCTAAAGCGACTTTGTCCTGATCCACTATTTCAGAGTGCTAGTCCTGGATGCTAAGATCCTGGTAGTGTCCCACAATCTCCCTGCTCGACTCTTCCCACAATGGAGCTATAAAGTGTTGAATCTACCGGAGAGATACCTGAACTACGAGACTTCTCACGAGGAGCCAGTGGAGGCTACCATCTCTGAATGCCTCACTGCACTCTTGAAACTGGGCAAACATCTACTGAAGTATCCCAAGGTATAGCTTCTCCAGCTGTTTCCAGAAGGTCTTGAAAAATCCTTAAGCCTCTTCCATATCCATGGCTACCACCTGAGGCCTGAGAAGGTGCTGATAACTTAACTGTTGCCGATGATTCACCCTGTGAGACACACTTCTCATACATCTAAAGACTTGTGCCCTAACCAGTCTTCTTTACTAAATGCAGTAAAACTGAAGTCATTTATTGGTGCTGCTCATTGGGGAGGGGGTGGGATGGAGGTTGTGCCTAGCAAGAGAGTTCCAGGGAAGGAGAGGCTATTTATTTATAAAACAAATTGATATGGCTGCCCAATGCATGCATGGTGATTCTGGGCAGCTTCCAACATTAAAATTTCGCAATGTAAGAACCCATAAACACCCTACCCATCCTCCTGGCAGTGGCAACAACCACACAGTCACACCAGCCACTTGATCAGCTCCATATCAACCTGGATCCCCAGGCCCACTGACAAAACTATGTTTTAAGGGCTTTGTAGAAAAGTACCAAGGTGGAGGCCAATCTTACCTCAGGAGAATGATATTCCAAAAGAAGGGATCCACCACAGAACAGGCTTTTCAGTGGCCCGACATTTTATGTAGCAGTCCCACACCTACCCTCAGCAGCATGTAATATAATCAACAAATATCTGGAATAAGGCAAGTTGGGGGAAGAGGATAGGGGGCCTAATTCCAAGAAGCTCCAAGACATGGCCAGGAAGGTGTGGAGTATGGAAAGGTGGTCCCTGGTGTTTGGGACAACTCGAAAGGTACAAAGGGGCCACCTACATCCGTCTCACCTTTTGGCCTTTTTCTTGGGGAGAATTAAGGCTCAGAACCTTCTTTTATTTCCCACAGTTGCCTGGGAAGTACCCTTTCCTTCCCTAGCCTGATGCCTCCCAGATGCTCTGTATTCTGTCCCAGACAGAATAGGCTACTTTAATCCCGTCGAGACAGACAGATAACTCAGCGAAATAAGCAAAGAAATATCGCTTTTATTTCTAGGAATTCTAAACAATAACTCACTGATAATTTGATAATGGATTTCCCCTCTTTTTCTGCATAAGACTCACATGTTGGCATAGGATCTCCAAGCCGTGGGGCTAGGAGCCATGAGGCTGGATGAAAACAAAAGCATTCCCAAACTGGCACATAGCCAGTATGTCCTGTAATGAGCTCAGTGGCTCCTCCTCCTACTGACCTGTTAACATAGGACAGCTGACTAGCTAAAACTACATCACCCATAAGCCATCTCTTAAGGAGACAGCACTTAACCCAATAAATGCCAAACATTCTAGCATACAGACCTACATGATCCAGAACACTCTGGGACAAACATTCTAAGAATTCCAAACCAAAATGGCCCATGATTGCATCACCTGGGAACTTGGGGTCTTGCAATTTCAATTTATTGAAGGCAGCAGATTAGGGAGGTTCCTGTAACACTTTTTACTGTGGGTGTGACAGTGAGGCAAAGACTCACCCTTGCAGTGAAGGTCTTGCACATGGCAGAGCCAGTTGTTCCCTCCTATCATCTGTGGGATTGAAATTTTAGTGATATGCAGGTTTTTGCCTTCACTGCAGTGATGTCTCTCAGAATTGGCGCTTTATTTCTCCCCTCCCACTCCACAAACGATAGCTATCATTTCTTTCTGATGGAGATTTTCAACTAAAGGATGGTAGAGGGGTGTTTTTTTTCTTCTCCACATCTTTTCCTTAAAAGATAAAAGGTATTTGACCTGGCAGCACTGCTACTAGATCATGGCTATTCAGTGTCCTGATGATTCTTACAGGGAGGAAGCATCTAGATTTGGAGCAAACAATCCCTCCATCCCCTGACAGAATGGCACTATCACAGTACCTACAACCCCTACAATTATTTGATTGATGCTCCTATTCCTGCCCAGTCTCATTTTTCAAAGGAAAAAGAGGTGTCACAGGTGCCTTTCTTGCTTTTCCATTGCATTAGCTAGCAAGCAACAGTTTCTCCACAACTGAGTATGACACAAAACATTGTGCACTGTGTTTATTTGCACTTGCTGGGCTGCGAGAAATTACCTGACCAGCTGCTGCTGCTGCTTCTGTCATCTTCAGAGCCCTAAGAACCTACCAAATAATTTCTTGGAAGAAGTCCCAGAGCTCATTGTTTCCCAAGATACCATTGGTTTCCTCCTGGAATGTCAAGAGTTATTGAGTCCAGCTCAATTCCTGCATTTATTTGAATTTCCTCTGAACATCCAGATGGACTCAGGTATGTGGTAAACTGAACCTGAAGGTAGGAGGAAGGCCTATGGTAATTTTTCACTGTATGACTTTAAAAGCATGGTTGAGGAATCAGAGGACTGTAATACCATAGAACACATATTCCAACTCATTACCGGCTATGTTGGCTGGTGCTGGTGGGATTTATAGTTGTTCATCTGGAGAACCATATGGCTTAAGGTGATCACTGCATAAAGTTGTCATCAGCTGAATTTGGCAGACAAATTAAGCCACAGCAGTTAAGATATTGTATCCTGAAATCAATCCACATGCTACTGGGAGATTTTCATATTAAGCAGAATGAAAGATCATGAAAAAATTCACCAAATCCATTTGGATAGGCTGAAAAAAACACCAGTAGTTACCTTTCTCACTCATGTGGTAGTAGCTCACTGCTGCATTGCAGACAGTGTAGTAAAAAGTCTTTATTGCAAATAAGCATCTGCTACAGCTTGAACATTAGTGTAAATACACCCTGTCAAAACCCTGAACTAATCTATGACGTCTTACATTCTCCTGTTTTTATAACTGCACAAAGATGATAGATACCCAACTGGGACAATTTTATTCAAAGGAATTTATGGCATGTATAATAGAATCCTAAGGACGTCATTGTGTTTACTGTGCTCAATGTCCCTTGCTTGCATAGGATTATTACAACCATAAATATCTTAAATTGCATACCTTTGAAATAACAAGACAGAGTGCTGAGTCAAAAGAATGTCTTGTCACATTACTTTCTCCAAGCTTTGAGGCTAAGTATGATAAATAACATGGCTCTTGTGCATGGTACCTGTCAGCTTATAGGCCAGGGGTGTCAAACTGCTGGTCTGCAGGCCGGATACTTCATGGCAAAACCACGCCCATTGTCGGCAATGGCAAAAAAGTCGCGATACATTGCAACACGTCACGTGATGTCGCGAGTTTGACACCCCTCTTATAGGCCAATCTAATTATCTACTACCTTCTTTTAAAGTTTCTACACAACTTTAAAATCAACAAAGTTTTCAAGGCAAGACCATTATATTATCAAAATCAATGATCCATGGCACCGGACCTGGTTACCTTCGAGACCGCCTCCTGCCACAGATTACCCCCCACCGACCTGTACGCTCTCACAGAGTGGGTCTCCTCAGGGTACCGTCGGCCAGACAGTGCCGGCTGGCGACCCCAAGGGGGAGGGCCTTCTCTGTGGGAGCTCCCACCCTCTGGAACGAACTGCCCCCAGAGATCAGGGTGANAATGATAAGCAAGGTCATGTAAAAATATTAAAAGAAGTATTAGATAATGAATTATGGAAGCCATTTGGTTTATGATACTACATACTTATCTAGGTAGGGTTCTGCAGAGTGACGTAAGTTTATTCCTATGAATTATAAATCACAATTTCAAAAGCTGAAGATAGACTTTTAAATCAAAGAGAAGATTGAAAGGGAATAGCCACTATGACCAATTTTGTAAAGCTGTGATCAGTTTTGCAAAGCTCTGCTGCTACAGAAATTTTGCCATCAGCTCAGTCTTGTGGATTCCTAGCCTTCAGATGTATGATCAAAGATCTGCAAATGCTGGGAAAAAGCACTGGCCCCAGGTACCCTAATCTATGCAGAAGACCCGCATAGATTAGGGGTGACTGAGATTTGTCAATGAATAAGCATCAGCTTCATTTATGTGTTATGCACTCAACCCCTTGATTTTCCCTGTTGGAATCATTGTGGAATGCACACATGTTGTGGGTTTCCTCTGATTTGGAGATGGAGAAATACAATTAACGGCTCCATAAGCATGAAATTCCACCTGTGTGCAATCGCCCTTCCATATCTTTGGCAAGCACTTCTCTTTCTTCCTATTAAACATAAATAGCACTAATAGGTGTGAACTTGGTGATAGTGACTAGATCTCTAAGTGGCTCTTTAGATTTTCCTTCTCTCCTCCAAGCTAATTCCCTTAATTGCTAGGCTTGGCCCAACACCCCAAAACTGCTATATCACACATCTGGGGCTTTCCACCCCCAATTGAGAATTTAGACTTGCAATTATGGGCACACATGCTGTTGCCCCAGCCTTGGCTCCGCCTGCGACCCCCTCCTCACCAGCAGCCTCCCTGGAGGAGAGTTGCTCCTGAGCATGGCCCACGCGGAGCAGCGCAGCCAAGGACACGGCAGCCAGGCAGCGTAGATAAGACTACCCTCACGCCCCAACGTGCAGAGTTGATGCTGCAGGGTGTGGCCGCCATGGCACCGCTGGGCTGCCTGGGTGATCGGCGGGCCCTGGAGGCGGTGAGTGGCCCTGCGGGCAAGCAGGGTGGGGTGGAGTGGGGGTGGGGCAGGGGCAGGGCAGGGGGTGGAGCGGGGAGGGCTAGTTTTTTGGCACTCGGTCTCTAAAAGGTTCGCCATCACTGATCTAGGGGTTATGGCTCAAGGGAAAAAAATATTCCCTTTTATAGTGTTACAATCCCAATACGATTCTCTCCCCATAGAATTTATTTTCAATCAATCAATCAATCAATCAATCAATCAATCTCTGATTTAAAAGTTCTCCTGAGTTCTGTACAATTGAAGATCTAGAAGAGCATTAAATGATTAAGATTGCTCTCTGTCAGGTGGAGATAGAAAGAAAATAGAAAGATAATCAATTTTCCCTTCTGAAGAGAAAATAGAGCCAATTCAGGGACTTCAAGTTGGCTATGCCAGAAATATTTTGCTGCTTCATTGTTTTTTTTGCCAGAAGCCATGTGGAGATGTAAACATGATCCTATCTCTCATACTCGTTCCCACCTTCCTTGGGGAAGTGCAGACAGTCCAGGGAAGGTATAAAGTTGTACACTGATAGAATAAAACCACTTTTCCCAAATTTCACTTGTTTTCATTGTTCATTTGGTGTTTTTCTCTCTCTAAAAGGAGCTGTATATACCTTCAAATTACATAAAAGGAAGATGCAATGGCCTTTCTAACAGTTTGGGAACCCTTGATCTATCATGTATTGCAACAGTGGTAGGCAGAGGAAACACAAAGGGAATACGTTCGGTGACTACTTTCTTGACAAATAGATTAGATTTTAGGTTAGATTAGATAACCTTTATTGTCATTTTTTCCTGTGGGCACAACGGCACACATTAAAAATGAAATTTAGTTGCTTGCTCTTTTAGTTGTAGCAGTAATTATTTCCCTCACATTAGGGTTCTGCTACAAAACAGAATTCTTGAGGTGGTAAGATAACCCAGAAATCGTATTGTGTATGTGACTATAATTCTGAATTATAATCCAAGGCACTGAATCCTTTTATTCTAAGCCCTGCATTAAGGGAGACAACACAAATCAGAGTGGCAATTTAGTCCACTCGTCAATGCCGAAAAAAGGGGCGAGATCGACTCTTCTTTGCTGTGTCTGCATGAATGTGAAATGAATAAAATGCTTAATGTAGGTGCACACATCCTCCTCCTTAAGTCTTTGCAGGACCCGCTCTAACCAAGGTTGGAAGCTTACTTCATTCACACGTGAGGCAGACAACATATGGGGCTTGCAGCGATCCAGAAGGATGATTGTTTGGGATTGGCATAGCATAAATGAGACTCAAACTTTGATTAAAATTTAGCCCACTGCAGACATAGGATCGTGATGCGCTTGTGTGCTTGTTAACCAAAATTTGGCTTTGGTATATCATCAGACTGGTCATTAGCAAGGGCTTTCTTCAGAGCAAATTAGTTCTCCAATTAATGGTAGTCCTTGTTTTGGTCAAAGGATTTGTGTTTCGAAGTGATAATCCAGCATCCGTTTAAATTCTTCTACCCTGCAAGAAGGTATAGTATGATGATCTCTTCCCTCCCTGCACCTCCTGTGGACTGTGATACACGCATGATCCTTTGCGGTGCATGAGTAGAGGCACAGGATGCTTACTACTAGTTAGACTAACATCTCTGCTAGGCACTAGAACCGCTTTTATGTGCTTGCCACATTAACATCACTGGCTGTTGCAGTATAGGTAGTCCTTGTTTACCGACTGCCTCATTTAGTGACCGTTGACAGCTATGATTATGATGAAAAACTAACTTTGCAATCAATCCTTGCAGTTATAATCTTAGCAGATCTTTAAAGCAAAGGAAAGCTAAGATTGGAGGCACATCCGTGTTTTCACTTACTGACCACTTCACTTAAAAGTTGCCAGTCCCATTTGTGGTCGCTAAATGAGGACTTCCTGTAGAAGTACCAGGTTTGAATGTTACACAACATTAATTGTACTGTATATGAGCACTGGTTTGTGCAAGCTGGCATCAGGCAGATTTCACTGCACAAACAATATTAATAAAAATAGACTAACAGCTTAACTCAAGATAAGATTGTGAAAAATGTTAACAAATAGACTGAAATTTTCCAGGGCTTCTGGGTTGTTGTCCCACCACTCTGTTGCATTCTAAAGTCCCTGTGGGCTGTGAAAGGAACAGCTGATCAATCATTTGCAACTAGTGACATTTCTCATTAGCTGTAACCTTATTTACATGCTGCTATGTTAGCTAGACTGAGGAAGGAGGAAAGTTTAATTCCGAATAAGGATACAAAATGAGACAAACTCCAGGAGTACAGTGTTGAACTATGTTATGTGTGAGGAGTAGTAGTTAATGGCTGGGTAGTCAGCATGGACAACAATTCCTGGCAATGTGGAAATGAATCATCCGTAATGTCTGCAGAACTCTACTGAGTCAAAAGAAAATGTTACTTCCACTAATAAGTCAAAGAAAGGCTTTCGTCTCCTGAAGACAACAATTTTGTCAAATCACTTGGGCCAGTCCTGAAGTGGTAAACAACAGTGGCGTGAAAGTGCTCTTAGTTCAAGGAATGAGTGACACATTTTAAAGCATTCAACAACAGCGATAGGAAGAAGGACTTATCTGTAATGATCATTCTCCATCAGGCATTTGAGTAATAATCCCCAACCATTGAACTACGGCTTTCATCTCATTTTTCAAGAACCAGGTCATAAAGGCAATTGCATGCGGACGTTCTCAAACATATAGCCTTCTCCCATATAGTTATCTTTTATCATTATAATATTAATGTGTGAATGTCATCAAAGTATATACATTCTCCCACGGGGAATAAAAAATCTCTATATCATCTCTCTCGTGGATTAACTTTATGTTAATAAAGTTTGGCTGCCTTCACGTATGCTGGTAAGAAGCATGTTATAGATCTCTGATGCTCGAAAGCTGACATATACAGTAGCTGATGTTAAGCAACAAAGTTCCCTAAGCAGCTATGAAGGACAAATGTCACATGGGCAAAGCTGGGACATTAGCAACCTTAGCTTGCATACTAGAATGCCTTCTAATTCTGGATGGTGTTCATGATTCCTCTTCTAACCCTGTCTTTTTTTTTTTTTTTTTGTCTCAAAAACAGACAGCATGCATTCTTTGTCAGATCGGTTAAAACGTCATCTTGATTGGGCTGTTTTGAAGGAGGCTTTTAAGAAAAAAATGCCTTTGTGACATTTTTGGAACATAGTATTGATAGAACTGTCAGATTGCATCCTTGAAATTCCAATACAGAAAAATGATCAACGTGGACTGCTTGTAATTTTTTGAGATAATTGATTTTGCTTTAATAAAAGTTGTGTTCTCTCTTTCGGAATTTATATCTCTGATACACTCAGTTCAAATAAACGTAGCCCTGCATGTATTTTGGCTCTGACATTGTTTGTAGAAGGTATTATTTCAGCCCTAATTACTTTTTCTATCAATTTTAAACCTTGAGGATAGACAGGAAACCATCTTTCCCCAATTAGTATGCTACACAGAACTGTGAAAATCAATATAGCTTTATCCTAGTAATACCTCATTTCTTATTTTCCCAGCTTGAAAAATTGTATCATATTACAGAATGCTACTATTGGCAATTTTAGAATAGTGATATCTTCTGGAACATAGAAATAAGGAAAAAAGTGCCAACTTGTTCCTGTTTACCTTCATGTTTGTATTTGGGGACAATCAAATATATAGATTCCTCAGGGATGAATCATTGCCACAAAGAACTGTAAGCTCCACCATTTTCTCAATTTCAGAAATCTTATTTTGGTAGTAACCCAAAAATTCTACTTCCCATCTTGTGTAAGAGGCAGTGAAAGATGGATCACATTTCTTCCTCTGATCCCTATTAACGTATGAATCAAACTTCTGTGTGATACAAACTACCAGCCAGTATCTCCTCCTTTAAATGGAAGGCACCAGGAAATGATGAAAGTTCAGAAGGTAAAAAAACAGCTCACACTTCCATAAAGAAATTGTGCTGGAACCCTGCCAGCACCAGATACTCAGCTTGTAGCAGTTGACCTTCAGATCCAGAACAGATGGAAGCACACAGCAACCTGTCAGAGTCATTCTATCCATCTCATTGAACCACAGAGGCCTCTTGAACTAATTAATTCCAAGTGTTGGGCTTTGATTTTAGGTGTAGGATAGTCAGGAGAATTCATCTCCTGAGTTGGAACAGCAGCCCATGATGGGATCTGGCAGTGAACACATGAGTCCCAGGCTGCTTACCATGTTCATCAAGAGAAAATGTCTCTATAAGCAGAATGAGTTTTAAATGTTTTCTCACAACTTCTACTAATTTGGATCCAAGACTAGTATTTCTGTCGGCTCCTGAAGAGAGGCGAAATTGGTTAGAAAAGCCTAGGTCAAGGCCAAGTCTTGTGGTCAGAATGGCCTCCATCTCAACCTACAACAATAAAGTTATGCCAGAGTGAATGTAGCACACATCAAGTGAGAGTTAAGAATTTGAATTAAAATGCAAACAGGGAGATGTGAAAGTTAAAGGGCAATAGAATTCAGACGGCATTCTTGACACGGTTGATGTCCAAGCTTACGTGGCAGCTGCAACCAGGGAGATGATGACTTTAGAACAGTGTAATAATACCTAGAATGTTTGCCATATAGTAGCAATTCACAACACTCAGAATGACCACCCCTTATCCCGTTATTCAATGCTTACAAAATCACTGGCAGAATTGAAACATTTTAGGGGATAATGAATTTCACACATATCACTTAAACATTATTATTGGTTATTACTGTTGGTATGCAGATGTACAGCTTCATTTGAAATCTTACCAGTTTTTATTCCTATAGTTGTTCCCTACTCTCAGGCCCCTCATAACAAGAAAAAGATGGGAGACACTTTCAAAGCAGCCTGAGGCAATTGATAAGTTTTAAGATTTTGAAAAAAAAAATAAATTCTGAAGCCTAGCTTTCAAAGGAATAACGCTAGTAAAAATGTATTTTGAAACACTTATTTCAAAAGATTTACACTTCCTTAGTTTCTGTATAAGGGAGCAAATGAGGGAATTATCTATGAACAGATGCATTTGATTTCTAGTTCTGTAACCACTATTTCCCCCAATGATTCTGTAACACACGGGTGTCAAACTCGATCACGTCACATGACATATTGTGACGCATTGCAATGTTTTTTTGCCTTTGTGGAGCCAGGGTGGCCGTGGACTGCACGTGACACATCTGGCCCACGGGCTGCCAGTTTGACACCCCTGCTGTAACATATACTTGGGAATAGCTTATGCCCACAGAGAAATACCTCCTGGTGCCATTCCAGTTACAAAACCAGTTCCACTAGTATTCTTCTTTTGTCCCTTTCCAATTAAATGAAAGTAGTTGAATTTTGTTTATCACCACCACCACAATAATTTTTGTGTCCCACGCAATTGGCAATATGGTACGAGAGGATGGGCAGGCAATATAGATACTATTATTATGGGCTGCATCAAAATGTTGTATATCACCATAAAGCCTCCTCCTTGGTCTTCTCCCCTCATCATGACCAATGTCCCCCAGATTTGCATATACTATTTTTTCAAAGTTCATGAGCAGACTTGGAGGCTGAACACGTGACCGCATGTTGCTCTCCTGCCAATCTCCATGGTTAATGGGATGGCCCCATTAGATACAACATCATCATAACGTGTTGGGTTTAAGAGTGGCAACTGGGACAGACCAGTGGTTTTTCCATTTACCTAGCAGGGAGATGATTTGACTTACGGCCAAATTCATTGATGCTTCTGCACAGTAAAAGAAACAGATCAAGGTTTGAAGTGGCTGTCAATACAAGTAGTCTTCAACTTACAACCACAATTGAGCCCAAAATTTATGTTGCTAAATGAGACATTTGTTGAGCGAGTTTGGCCTCATTTTACAAACTTTCTCGCCACAGTTGTTAAGGGAATCATTGCAATTGTTTAGTTAGTAACACGGTTGTTAATTTGAGCCTGGCTTCCCCATTGATTTTGCTTGTTGGAAGGTCGCAAAAGATGACCACATGATCCCTGGACACTGCAACCGTCATAAATATAAATAGGTTGCCAAGCATCTGGATTTTGATCACATGACTATGGGGACGCTGCAATGGTCATAAGTGTGAAAAATGGTCATAAGTCACTTTTTTTCAGTGATCTTGCAACTTTGAACAGTCACTAAATGAACCGATGTAAGTTGAGGACTACCAGTACAGGTTTCACATCATTCTAACTCTCAGCCAGCCGCCCCTTTTCCAAAGACGTACTAAAAGCTTGAACAGATATTCCTGGCTACTTTAAAGAGCTGCTTAAACGTCTGACATACTGAACATTTATTAGACTTGTAATACTAAGTTTAATATTGCAATGTCCTCAAATAAATAAATAAACCAAAACAGAGAAAAGAGAAAGCACAAACGTCATTAACTGTACTTTAATGACACTGTAAGTCAGTGGAGTGGAGCACTGAGGCCAGAAATGGAGAAAGCTCCCAGAAAGGACCTGCTCTATACCTTGACTGGCTCTATGGCTCCCTTTTTTGAGCAGCAAGAACACCAGGTGACAGAACTGAGGGGAATATGAAAAATCTATCACCCTTTCTTTTACCAAAAGTGTGCACCTGGTTTGTTGCCTTTCCTAGTTTGGGCAATGAGGTACACAGTATCACAATTGGTAGCAACGCAAGAGCATATGAACTTGCAAAAATGCTGCCAAAGTAGAGTCAGGAGACATTAAATACCATTACCATTAATCTGAGTGTGACTATGTATGTACGTACATATGGGCTGGAAGAGTCATTATAAGCAGTTAAATTTACATTGTACATTTGTACAACAGTTCAGGTGGAATGGCCCCGAATAAACCAAATATATATAATATATATATATGTATTTATATATATTTATAGACTTTGTATGTACAAATATATATCCATCTTGACAGATACATCTCAACTCTTTGAAAAGGATAAAAGCTAATAACACCTGTCTTCGCATGCACAGCTGTGAATTCCATTCTGCTCAGTTGGATCTTGCTTAAAATGCTATGGAGAGCTGCAATCTACCCTCTACAAATGTGTCCTGCTAGGGGAATTTCTCTCCCTTTTCCTCGCCCTCCTGGGGGAGAGGGCAATAAGCCCATGGTGCTGGTGAAGAAGAACTCCTCATGGCCGGATTCCACCTCCAAAACACACTACAAGGATATACTTTTATTGCTAATCAAATAACCACGAGTAGGGAGGGCATTACCCAAACAATCTCACCACTATGGTTTTTTTTTCATTCTGATCAAAGCCAAATGAAGCAATGCTGTGCTCTTCCACTGTCTGTAAGTTGCTCTTTGCCAAGAGGAAGTTCAAAGAAGGAAGGAATGGAATGAAAAATAGGCCCAGGTACCAGCGAAAGTGTCACGGGAAAGGGATGAAAACAACAGGAGCTCTGAAGATTCCAGAAAACCAAACAAAAGGGCTTTCAGGAGAAACGGAAAGATGTCCCTTGGTTGATCTGCAAGGACAAAGCAGCTTGAACTGGATGAATGGAGACTTAGCTGCTGGAAAGGGGAGGGGCAGCAGGAGCAACAGCAGAAAGAAGAGATGGTGGCAACAGCCCTCCACGTCATTCACTCAGGGAGACAGTCTGCCCCTCTCACCTCTTTGTTTTTTGTTGAAGACCGGAATGAAATGAATGTCCAGATAGGGCAGATTAATTTTTTTTTTTAAGATAAGGGTCCAAAAGCTTATAAAGGAGATAAATAGGCACCACATCAAAAAGGCAAAATTTGGATAAGGCTAAACAAACAGGAGAGAGAAAAAATAATTAAATGGAAATTGCACCAGCAATGCCCTTTGCCACAGAGACAGGCTTAGCACCAGGCCCAGAGGGCTGTCAGTCTTGCACAAGTGGCTGGCAAGTGAAACTCCAGAAGAGACATCCCTTGACAAGGTCTCTGGATATGCCTCCTCCAGCAATGTTCATGTGGGGCACCGATATGTACAAGAAAGCACTCTAGAGAAGTAAGAGGGATCTTCATGTCATAGGGCGGTGCTTTCTGAATCCTCCTCTGAGCTGATTTTTCCTGGTACCGGATGTCTCTGGACTTGACCCGAGGGATCCAAGTGAAGTGTGGCATCAACCTCTACATGGATGGAAGGGATATCAAGATGGGCCAGATCTGTAACCAGGCACAGACAAAAAGGGAGACAAATTACCATCCTGTTCCAAGCCTTTTCTGCCCACCCCATCTATACAGTTGAGTTAATCTGATAATGTAGAAGCTTTAACTGAACAGAGCAATGAATATAGTTCTTAGAGCCTGCTAATGCCAGAGAAAGGGATGTCATAATATAATCTTTGTTTATACCTGTTCCTTTTATTCTTTAGAGTTGTGCCTTCCCTGGAAGCATTCCTTGCTAAGTGAGTCTGTGGTAAGTCTTATGCTTCTTAATCTCATAGGATCCTTTGAATGCAGCCTGGTAGTCAAATGCTGGGCCAATAATATCAGGGTGATCACCTGTCCTAAAACCTCTTGTGAAGCAAAGGCTTCTTATACAGCTGCTTTTTTGATCACTTCAACATGATAAAATGTTTCCTTTGCTCCTATCACAGCTCTGCTTAAAACAAAGCTCCTCTTGTAAAGGAGCCAATTCTACAATAATCTTTTTACTCAGAATTTGAAATCTCTGTTTTTCCCTTCTCCTTTGCTCAACAGTAAATATTCCAGTCATCAACCAAAGTGATGGGGACTTTGGTTCATAAGGGAAAATGGGTAAATTCGCTATTAAGGAATTCCTGTACTTTACTATCAATGCCTTATGAGTAACAAATAATTTGGCAGGTTTTTGGGGGGGGCGGGCATGGGGAAATGGCTTAATCCGAAGTGCTAGAGGAAATTCTGAAAAGCGGAGAGGTTAATACTTCCTAAATTCTGGCCTAGGTCTACTGCTGAAAAAGTGAATAAGTGATTCAATTCTCTACACTACATGCTGCTCCCTGGTGGCCACTATAAACTTTGAAGGAGACAAGAGCTATTGGATGACAAAAGCCCTTTTCTGGTGATATCACTCATATGGGAAACCTTTCTTTATGCATTCACACTTCCACGTGAGCTGGAACTTATGAGATCAGGCTCCAATTCACATGGAGGACTTCATCTCCTTCCTGATGCTATCTTCAGGTAAAGAACTCAACTTGTGAAGGTCTCCCCTAAGTTGTAACATCACCGAAGAATTGTCAGTATGATAGAAGGCAGTAGGAAGCCTTCTATACAACAATTTTGTGTGAGACGTTCAAAACAGCTCTTCAGCAATATCACAGTGTGACTTACAAAGGGGAAGAGTTGCTCACTGTCAAAGCATGGCCTGAAAAGAGTAAGAAAGGCGCACACATACAAGAGGGAATGAATATATGTGAATTTCAACTCTAAACATAACCAGGTTCACAGCATACCCCACATGAGTTCTTTCTCAAATCATATTGTTTGATTCATAAAAGAAATTCAAAGTAGGGTCAGAAGTGATTAGACACTGTTAGACAAACTCTCCCTTATGGAAGATTAGGAGAATACATGATATGGGGTAGGGTAGGATAAATTTACTTAATTACAGACAAATGACAGCATGCAGATTGTTCTGAACAAGTAATGTCCCCTGAAAATCACAAGGTATTTCCAAAACTCAACAAAATGCTCACAGGACCACAAGATATCATGGAGCATTCTGTTCATTCACACTTTCCAAACAATCAGGACTTTGGGGATATTTGGGATACCAAAGGGAAACCAGTCAATCTGTGTATGAAAATCTGTTCAGAACCATCTAATTCTTCAACTTTAAAAAAAAGGGCTTTTCAAATTGTATGAAAAGACTTCAAAAGTCATTAAAAGAACTGGGAGAGATAGGCAAAGAAATGATGGACATCTATTGCAAGAGGAATAGTCCTTTTCTATCTTGGGTAGTCCCAAAGGTGCTTTTTCATGAGGCAACTGGACTTTCTTGGTTTTCTTTGATTCGAAAAAGCATCTTTGGGTTAACTATGACCCGGATGACATAGAATTTCCATAGACATATCTAGGGCAGTGTTTCTCAACCTTGACAACTCTTAAGCTGTATGGACTTCAACTCCCAGAATTTCCCAGCCAGTGTGAGATTTGAAGGGAAATAAAACATGTTCACAGTTGCCCAGATTGCTTTGAAACCTGCAGTTCTCACTGCAAATTTCCAAAACAGTTGCCCAGTTTGGAACCATGGGGCGGAACCACACAGCACCATGCTTGATGGCCAAATGTTCACTGTCAGCATTACTCTGAATGACCTGTCCTAACTTAGCCTTGTGTTCTACACCACGCTGTAGTAATTTTGCAACCAGTAATCCATAGGCAAATACACGCCAAGCACTGTCACAATATATTTATGTTAAGTCCAGTTTTTCATTTGCTCTGTCCCATAATTTCTTACAGCCAGAATGCAGATTGTCCTCACTCCTTATTTAGTGAGAGATATCATATCCTACGCTATTTAAATAATGAACATCTTTTCATATCTTTGTAATCATCACTGAATGTAAGTGAGAAAGATGGGAACTTGCATCTATCAAGAGTCTGTGAGCGGTATAGGAAACTTATAATTTAAGCAAATGAACCCCTCACAGTGCAATTTACACATGAATACATCCAAAGTTGAAGAAATAAGAAAGTTACTCCCAAATATTCAGGGGAAACACACTTCTTAAAAAGGAATGATTCACAAAACTTTGGTGCCCTGATGAGAGCATTCCACTGCAAAGACTGCTCTTCTTGGACGATGAGAGAAGATCCCATCGTCTATGTCAGTGTTTCTCAACCTTGACAATTTTAAGGCATGTGGACTTCAAATCCCAGAATTCCACAGCCAGCATTGCTGGCTGTGGAATTCTGGGAGTTGAAGTCCACATGCCTTAAAATTGTCAAGGTTGAGAAACACTGGTCTATGTGAATTGGCTACACACCTTATCTTAACCTTCCTGTGTGCTTGAAGTGCCCCAGATGTGGTTCTTTTGGCTTCATCCATAACAGTGAGTGCCACTAGTATTAGTTAAATGGTAATATCATGACATCCCTTTGGAAAGAACACATGGAATGGCAGAGGGAGAGAGTTAACATTGGCAAGAAAGGACCAGCAAGGTTAGGAGCGAGTGAACCCTGTGGCTTGGAAAAGAATTAGTTGGATGGATTTAACTGTTTGTGTACCAAAAGGCTGACGCGCGTGAAGGCCAGTGATTTAGAGAAGCACCCTCCAAGTTTACTAATAATAATAGCATTATCAGGAAGCTTGGAACGGGGTTCAGGCTTGAGCAGCCATGCTGTCCTGGATCAGCAGGCCCCATGCAAGGCCAGTGAGATGGTGATAGGTGACTGAGACGAGGCATAGTCGCAGGGCAGGGCAGGGCCAGTAGGTGGCAGTAGCAGAAGGGCAAAGGTTCAGGGAAGATGGTGGGACTCCAGCTTACCCCAAGCAGTCCCCTCACACCTATCCAATATTGCACCACGTGTTTCAAACAGCTGCAAGGACACAATAATAGGATTGGGAAATAGGAACAGAAGAGAAACAGCAGCAACAAGACAAAAGTAAAACACAACGGAAAGTCTAAACAACAGCAATACACCTATCTACCCATCCCTGAATAGGAAGCTGGTGAGACCTGATCTCTTCTCATTGTCCTTTCATTGGATGAAATAGAGATCCATCTGAAGCCCGGGCATTTAGTCCTTAGGAGCTGGCATGATGGGAGCTGCTGCCTTCTCTGATTACTGCCTAATATTCATACCATTCCAGTTTCTAATATTCATATCTTTAGAACGAATGGTTGGCTCAAGACTTCAGCTTACCATGAACCAGCCAGTTCCCCGCCCCCAAATATAATAAAATAGAGATAAAAACTCCTTACAGAGGTTTAAAAACTATATCTCCCATCTTTTTGCCAATTCCCTTGGCTTGTCAGCTGGAAGTATTTGTGCCTAAAAAGCCTACATCTACCCGCCCCCCATCCCCACCGCCAAGAGCAGAAACTGCAGCCCAGTTGAAAAGAAACTAGAGCTCATCCAAGCATGAGACATGAAAATAGTGGATCCGTTCTGTTTATAATTCTATCTGAAACGTGCATGTTTAGGAAGGAGTCCAGCTTCTGGAAAACCTGTGAGGTTGCAGAAACCTGTTCTAAATAGGATGTTTTCTATTAAGCATTTCAGTTTATAGTGCAAGCCAAGCCAAGTAATCTCTTCTAATGAAAGGGGTGGTGTTCACCCTGCTGTCAAAACAGCTGGATTATTTACTGTTTACAAAACATACTAAAGAGAGAGATGGGCGCTTATGAATCAATGGCTCTGGAGTGGAGTGGACAGGAAGAATGTGGTCAAATAGGCCACTTGCCTTCTGCCACCAAAGCACTTCTGGGTCAAATTGTCAACATTTAGCAGCCTAACCTTGTAAGTTTGAAGCATGATGTCACTGTTTAACTCATCCCAAACCACATTAAACCCTGGCCATGTTCCTTGAGATGTTCAGAAGGTGGAAAAAAATATTAAAAACTGAGAAGCTCACAGCCAACCCTGGAACAGGACTTACTCTGCTTGGCAAAGCTATGCCCAAGAGAAATCTGCACCATAAATGAATGCAACATGGCACATCCAGGGGTGTACTATTATCATAGTGCCTACAGTAAAACCTGTAGGAATATAATGCTACTATGCAGCAATTTGCTGAAGGCAGCGGTGCATGCTGGAATATATCATCTCTGGGGAAAGCAAGAATCAGTGGCACTTGCCTTTGGGTCTGGAAATACCCTAAGATATCCCTTGAGGTCATCATTAAAAAGCAGCTCCCTAGGTCATGGTGCCAGAAAGTATCCCTCTTTCCCTCATCACAGTGATAGATTCCTTACACTTTGCCCGTTTGTTCTGTATACAATACTTGCTTCGGACTTTCTGATTGAGTAGTATTTTGTAAAACATGCCTACCTATAAGAATAGACTTCTTTCTTTCCTTTAGTTCATTTAAACTAAAACAAGGTTAAGTAAAATGAGTCTTCTCGATTTTGAAATCAAGGCTATGGGAAAACCAGACAAATAAAGGATAGCAGCCCAGCAAAACGCAACCTCAGTCTTCACAGTGATTACAGGGGCCCATATAGATCTCTGCTTCACTTCAGCTGCTCCCATCTTTGTACTCCTTTTGCAGTGTCCCATCGCTAGCTCTGCCTTCTGTACGCAAAAGGAAGAAAAAACCAGAACCTGCACAAGCTCTTCCCTGCACTGATCTCTGCTAGTGATCCCAGCTATTTCCCAAACCACAAGCCGATGTCCCACTTTCACTCTCTGGTTACCTGTGGACATGCTCTCTCCGGGAGAGATGTCGTCTAGGAGGGTGTGCTCTGTGGACTGTGGACTGGAGCCAGATGCACTGGATGTGGGAGGCTGTGGAGGTGGCAGTGTAGGCCTCTGTCGTGGCTTGGGGGCGGGCCGAGATTTGGTTAAAGTGCTTGTTAGGGAAGGAGGAGAAGACAGGGAAGGAGCTGCCGCTGGGGAAAGAGGGCCTGAACTCAAGGAGTAGCCTGGTGGGTAACTCAGTCCATAGGGCGATGGAGTGCTGGGTGGAGTGGGAGAAAGGCTGGCCGGAGATGGCTGCCCTGTCGATGGATCAGACATACCACCAGACTGGCCATAAGGACCCTTGGCAGGGAGTGGGGTCAGCTTCTTTGAAACTGCAGATAATGAGAGAAAGAGAGAGAGAAAGACGGAGAGAAATGAGGATCACTGTTCATTGGAACTCAGCTGAGCTTCTTACTATCGGTTTCTGAATACAGCAGCCAAGTCCTAACCATAGTTAGCAGATGAATTTGAAACAAGACTAATGTAAAGTGGCCCTAATGGTTTATCCACGAAAAAAATCCTGATGTTGATGGGCCAATAGAACCACATATTTCAAAGGAGGTATCCTAGAATAGAATAGAGCTGGAAGGGACCTTGGAGGTCTTCTAGTCCAGCCCCCTGCTCAAGCAAGAGAACCTATACCATTTCAGACAAGTGACTGTCTAGCCTCTTCTTAAAAACCTCCAGTGATGGAGCGCCCACGATTTCTGAAGGCAAGCTGTTTCACTGGTAAATTGTCCTGTTAGGAAGTTTCTCCTAAATTCCAGGTTGCTTCTCTCTTTGGTCAGTTTCCAACCATTGTTTCTTGTCCTGCCCTCTGGTGCTTTGGAGAATAGTTTGATGAGAATAGTTTCCTGGACATAGGTTATTCTTTACAGTCTCCCTCCTAATCATGTAACCCCAAATTCTAGCTACTACATGCTTTGCAGTTTGTTTGCTGCCTTCTTGTTTTAACCAGTTCTCAGTTTTAACCAGTTCCTTTGCTGGTATAGGGATTTTTGGAAATTTGATAATAACCAGAAAGCATGTTGAATATTATACATAAATGTAACTATGAATGCTAGTTAAAACTATTTGTTATTAATTCCCGTGGAATACATCGTTCCTTTGTTTGGGAAGAAGAATCCCCTCTTCACAATCTTCCACCTACTGTATGTTCAAGAGAACTAATTATTATTTTTAGTTACTATCAAAATATGAGTTAACCAAATTCCTGATCTTATTTCAACAACATGTGTTAAAAAAGGAGGATAAATCTAAAGTGCTGATTTTTAAAGGACCTTTTAAAAAATGGAGTATTTTGCAAACTGTTTGATTATTCCCTTGCACTTGACTTCTGCTCTGATCTATGCACCGGATACCTTGAAACTAATGAAGAGAAACAGGGACTGAAAAAAATAGGGGGTAGGTAACCTTGGACTGAGGTCTTTTATACTTAAATCAAATTCTACTTCCAAGATCTCTTGAATTTAGTAGCCTCCATATGTGAGGGAGCTTAGTACCCATATGGACAACTTGAAGCTTCCCAAATCCACCACTAAAATCGATACTAAAGGATTAATATTTGGGACAATTATATTAATACTATTTAATTCATTAAATTGCAAGGTAATCGCATTTAATCAAATTTAGTTTTCACTCTACTCCCTTCCTATTTGGGACATGCACCTCTTGGCATATCACTCAAAGTTTATAGTTGGCTATACAGGAATTGGGCACCTGTCAAGCACACAGATTAGTACTTGGCAGAGTAACAGTGAAGCTCTTGAAAAAGTATGTCAGATATTAGTGGATAATGGAGCATACTTTTGCTTTCAGTAGTTCTCTATCTTCCAGATAAATTTGATATCAAATATAAAATGCATACCTTTCCTCAGTGTGTGTGGACTTTGTTCTGTGGATAGCTGCGGTGCAGCTGGGGGCTGTTGTGCAGTCCCACCACCTGGTGTTGTGTGGCTGCAAGCCGGGCTCCCTTTCTGCCCAGACACTAGAGAGAGTTCCTTAGTTTTCAGAGTGCTAAAAACAAAATAAAAGATGAAGAAGTAGTAAATTATGAGTCTCTGTGCACACATCTCAGATCCCTTACTCCTCCTGGCAGAGTCCCAGGGTGCTCTCTGCTAAGATAATCCAGTGATATTTGCAAAGCAAAGCATATTTATGTCTTACTCCCAAACACATGCCTAAAGGACCAGACAATCTTCCACATCCACCTTCAAAGCAGTTTAAGCATGACGAGAGCATGAATGAAGCCACAGCCCTCTCAATCATTCTGTACACAGCAATGAGACAAAACAAAAATGGAGGGAAGCTGTTTTGAGCTTATTTTGGCATTCAGTCTGTCCTTAAGATGGGGAGAGGAAGGAGTGGTTTACCAATTAAAATATTTTTGTGTGTCTTGGACTAAGGAGCATATCCATCATCCAAATCTGTCCCTCATATACCACTCTTAATTCCTTCAACTGTAGGTGACATAAAAATACCCATGAGCCACTCATTGGTTAGGGCTAGCCAATGTGTCCCAATATCCAAGGCACCAATAGTGAGCAACAATTTACCTCAGTGAGACTGAGGCTGGTAGACACAAAATCCAGTAACTGGAAACCTAGTGGAAGGACCCCCAAACTGCTTTTTGTTGCTTGGTGTGTCTCATATATGCCATTGCCATATGGCAATGGGCAGGTTAGTTCCAAAGAATCTGTTGCTTTGGCACTGTTGCCTATGGCCCAGCTCACAATCACATTGAATAAAGGATTTTGTCACACTCCAAAGAAAGAATGGGATTGCTATTGAGGTTTCTCTACAAATTCTTAGAAACTATTATTTTGGGAAGATGATGAGAATTCTCCTGGAAGATCTCTAGTCTCCTTGCAGAACTTTTCTCAAGTTCTATAGAGAAAGAAGACAAACCACTAAACCAGTTTTTTGAACTGCCATTTAGAGTTTGTATCAATGAGGGGTCTCCTCTATCGTACATCGACCAAAGCAACTAAATTGCTCTTGAACAGTGAGGAGACTGCCAGCATTCCAAAGAAATGCCTTTTCTGTTTTCCTCAGGACAGCTGGGGGTCTAAGCTCCGTTCTCTGGAATCCCAAAGGGCTAGCAGGTGGCGGTCACCCTTCCAGAGTCCACCATGCCCTGTCAGTGTCAAATAAACAATTATTTACCTAGTTAGCCCGGCTCCTCTGTCTCTGGCACAGGTGCAGCTGACCCAGGGGGAAGAAACTGACATGCTGGAGCTATACGGAAGAGTGCCAGGAGGATTAGGTTTGGATAAGGTGAAAGCGGTTTTTGTGGTGACAAAGGAAAGGTTAGTCTCAGGACCATGCAGTTCTGTGAGGGAAATCTGCTTAGGGAGATGTAGGAAATTAATGTCAAATGGCTGAAAGGAGGAGGAAGAAAAACAGGAGGAAGAACAAGGGGGAGGAAGTGTTGGGTTGTTCCCTGCCCAATGGTATGGCGGCAAGGGAGGCTCAAGCCTAGTGCATGGGCTGGTCCTGGGGGGGTAGGGGTAGAAGGAAGAGCAGTGGGGGTACAAGGGAGACTTGTCGTCTTCGGGGGATGGATAGATGTAACAGGAATCCGACCAATTAGACGACACACCATCCGTGCTGCAAAGGTCCAAAACAAAACAACAAAAAACAAAAAGGAAAAAAAAAAGAGCAGAGAGCATTTGTACAAGGAAGCACTAAACTGGAGTTCCAATCACAGCCCCAAAGCATGAGGGTGGCAGAAAAGCAACCAAGAGTCAAGGGGGCTGGCAAAGTCCAGATGTTCCCCTGTTTTTTGCTTCTGCTTGCAAATGTTATGACATGCACTGGAAACCAAGAGGCGGCCAGCACAGTTTTTCCCCTTGCCACACGTGATCCCAAGGCAGTACCTGTTTCTAAACATTCGGGTAGAGCAAACACCCTAAGTTTGCAGATGCCCTGCATGGCTTTAATCTGTCAGAAGAAGGGAAGGGCAATTTGATTTGAGATACTTTTTAACTCTCTTTCCAGGACATAGTCATTCTTTTAGTATTAATATATTAGTTTCTGTAATGTATTTCTGTAATATATCAATGTCTTCGGAGCTGGGTGGTATATATGAAGAAAGAAGAAAGAAAGAAAGAAAGAAAGAAAGAAAAAAGAAAGAAAGAAAGAAAGAAAGAAAGAAAAAAAAGAAAGAAAGAAAGAAAGAGGGAAGGAGAGAGAGGGAGAGGGAGAGAGGGAGAGAGAGAGAGAATGCCTGCTGGAAGATCTATGTATTGACCATAAAATTACATTGCCTTTACTGTTTTGCAATAGTAGTGAGAGAACTACAAAATGTGTCTTCCTTAAGAAGAAAGGAAAACAAAATGATTTCTTTATGAAGCCTAATATACAAATGCCTGAATGTGTACTGCAAACAGAAAAAAAAACCCTAAAAGGCTTAAGTGGAAATTGGTGGTGATGGCATTTTATAAGGAATTGTCCTTTGTGTATCAGATGTGAAAGATTCATACTTTAACATACATCCCAGAGGCTTTTTTTTCTGGGGAAAATTCAAGAAAATGCACATCTGTCTCCAATTCAAATTTTATTTACTTGGAAACTGGCAGGTTGTGATTTGAACCAGCTGATTAAATTCCAACAGACAAATCAATCAAGGCATAAGAAAGTGGTGCAGAAGAATAAAATATGCTGTGAAATTATGACTGTGAAATTAAAACCAGAAATAGAATATTGGCAAAACAAACAAACTGAGGTCAGGAAAACTACAGAAGAAAACATAAAGACTTCAGCGGCCAGCATACTAAAATGCAAAGGTAAGCAAGTAGTAAGATTTACATAATGTAGGTGTACGTTTGCAGGTGAGGGAGACTTGACACTTTGTACCAGGGAAGCAAAGAAAGTGTGGAATGAATTATAACGAAGCTGCATGTCATTAAGTCAAAAGTTGGAACTATGACCCCTCTAATTTCTTTCCCTGCAAATCAGCAACAGTGTTGTTGAATGCAGACAGGAAAAGTCCTTTTCTTGATTTTAATCTCTTGAAGCTGTCTCCACTCATTCTAAGGGTACCAATTACAGCCAAAGATTATGGTGACACTAGCATTCCAGAGTTAGAAAATAAAGTGCCCACAAGGCAGCCCAGAGCAGTTTTAGTGGGAATTGCAATTATGAAGTCATGAGGTTTCTACAAATGCTCACACTCTGGAGGTACAAAACACTTGACCTGCCCAAGACCCACAAGAGCACCAAGAGTGCACCTACACACTTCTAAATGGATTTATTGATGTGCCCTCTATTTCCAGAAGAACCAAAAGGGAATCTGCTACGACAGATTTTGTTATATGACCTATTGGGGCAGTGTTGTTTCATTACATTGGGTCAAAAGTCAGCAATACTGTATGCCTAAAAACTGGGTGGAGATCCCTTTGTCCCAATGATCTCTCAGAAGGAAGAGAACTGTTCCTCCCTGTCTTGGTTAGCATAATAACTGTAGGTCTTTTTGTTAAGAGTTCCTAACTATCAAAAAGAATAAGCAGAGGGAACTGACCACAACTAATATGAGATAAACTGGAGATATTAATCCAAGTTGGAAAACATTTATTTTCATGCATTAAAACAAATATGCTGTGGGATATAAATCATGCCTCATGAATAACAGAATAACAGGATGAGTTGGAAGGGAACTTGGAGATCTTCTAGTCCAGAGATATCCAATACCCGGGCTGCGGTCCCCTACCGGACCATGGCCCGTTTAGAACTGGGCTGCAGAAGTGGTGGGGGAGCATGTGTATGCACGCAGCTCCATTTCCTGCACGCAGTGGATGGACAATGCATGCACGTTCAGCTCCATTTGTGCAAGCAGCACGTATGTATGCATGCCACTTGTGCAAATGGAGCTGTGCACATGCATGCTCACCCACTGTTCACACAGAACCATCCCTTCTCCCTCCCTGCCAGTCCGCAAAGCTGGAAAGGTTGAAGACCGCTGTTCTAGTTTAACCTCTTCTTAAGCAGGAAATCCTATACCATTTCAGACAAGTGGTTGTCCAATCTCTTCTTTAAAACCTCCAGTATTGGAGCATCCATAACTTCTGGAGGCAGGTTGTTCCACTGGTTAATTGTTCTAACCGTCAGGAAGTTTCTCCTTAGTTCTAGGTTGCTTCTCTCCTTGATTAGTTTCCATCCGTTGCTTCTTGTCCTGCCCTCAGGCGCTTTGGAGAATAACTTGACTCCCTCTTCTTTGTGGCAGCCCCTGAGATATTGGAACACTGCAATCATGTCACCTCCTAGTCCTTCTTTTCATTAAACTAGACATACTCAATTCCTGCATCCATTCTTCGTATGTTTAATCCTCCAGTCCGCTAATCATCTTTGTTGCTCTTTTCTGCACTCTTTCAAGAGTCTCAACATCCTTTTTTATATTGTGGCAACAAAAACTGGATGCAATATTCCAAGTGCAGTCTTACCAAGGCATTATAAAGTGCTATTAACACTTCATGTGATCTTGATTCTATCCCTCTTTTAATGCAGCCTAGGACTGAACTATTGGTTAATTTTCTTCAGACATTAAAATTGGTATATTGAATCTGTTATTAGTAAAAAGGCCAAAGTAAGTCGCAGATGCTGTAAGAGCAAAAGAGTGATGGGGAACAGGATAGCACATGGCCATGAGAATTTAATCTCATGTGATTGCATAAGCTCCAACACTGGAAGTTTTAAAGAAGAGACTGGACAGCCATTTGTCCGAAATGGTATAGGGTTTCCTGCCTGAGCAGGGGGTTGGACTAGATGACCTTCAAGGTCCCTTCCAACTTTACTATTATTATTATTATTAAGAACAAAAATCAGATTGGGCAAAGGGATCAAAGTGTTAAAAATGATGCCTTATTAAAAAGAACAAGCCTTGCAAAAATGCAACTGCAAACTGAGGGCAACTGGGGAAAAAAACTAAACAGAAAATGGAGATCAAATGGAATGATAAAGGTGCCCCCTTTCCCCCATATGCCGAAATTTTACTTATCAAGTTCAATTCAAATTTCATGCAAGATTCTTCCTGCGATTTGAGGCTGCCTGTTTCAGTGTTTCATCACTATTTTTTCTAAAGGTAGCTTGTGTTCATCCCAATGTGCTCCCCAATCACTGTTTCTGATGTCCATAGTGACATGCAGGACATTAAAGTTTAATTCCACACTTTCAGGTAAGGAACTAATCTGTGACAGAAATGTAGTCCAGAATCACATGCATGATTCTGACAGAAAATTCTACTCTCTCAATATATCGCAATGGCAAATATAACATGTTCCTCGTGACATTCTTGCTACAAAACTGATCCTATACCACAAAAAAAACACCCTTGTACTTTAACCTACTGATTTAACATCCAGAGATAGAATTAAAAAAAAAGAAAGGAAGTGGAGGATAGCATTAAAATGGCATTTCATCTGGTTTAATTTTGCTCTGCTGTCCTGCACTGAAAAGAGTACACTGAAGTTCACAGAAAGTCTTTGAATTGTTCAAGGGTAACAGAGGACCTAAATATTATTTGATCAAGGGAATAACATGATGGAATCCCAAAGGATTAGTAGTAAAGCATAAAAAAATGAATATTATATGATATTATAATATGATATTAATGTACTAACCAATAGGTTATTCCTTCTTCCCCAGAAGGTGGAGAAGGAAATAATAGGGTCTGTCGAATCCCTGTAATTGCCCATAAATTTGAGAGAGAAAGTATAGAAGAAAACTGTTCTGTTTTACATGATTGGTGCCAATTGCCCTTGCCATCTACTCTCTTTGGAGAATTAAGATTTTTTTGCTCTCATGCCACAAAAGTACTGTTACTTTGTGCCTGAATTCTCTCTCTCTCTCTCTTTCCTCCCCTCACCCCCATCTGCTCACATACAAAGTGAAAGCTGAAGCATAACAAAAGAATATCAACGCAGGCATGGGAGTGGCAGATGTGTTCATGGACCACAGAACGCAGTGGTAGCAATCGGTGTTGCTTCCAGTACTTACCTTGCTCGCTCAACCCCTGGTGGGAACCCGAAGCTAGTTGGAGTAAGGGAGGGAGTAGCTGAAATGTCAAGAGATTGCTCAGGAATTGGTGACTGAGGAGTAGCAGCAAGTTCACAAGGCGGAGCAGGGGGCTGCATGGCAGGAGGGGTGGAGGATGCCTTACGAACTATGGAGGGGCCTCTGCGAGCCACCCAAGAGGTGTCCATCACCCGGACGCCCATGCTAGTGGGGGGGAACACAGAGATACACCCTTACCATCTTGAAAGCAGTAAAGTATAAAACACATATACGCATGCGCGCACGCGCACACACACACACACACTGCAGTAGAAAGAAGAGGAACCCATCTGGGTGCATCTAGGTCTGTAATCCTGAACAGACTCCCTTTCCCGTGCGGTGCTGTATACAGACAGGATGAGTTGAAAACATGGAATGCAGACATCATTTAGCCAGAGAGAAACCCATTGCTTTGAAATTCCACTAAGTGGTCCTTCTGTGTTAAAGAAAACATTAAAAAGGCATGCCTTTCTATGAAACTCCCTTCCGAGGCCTCAAAACGTCCTGGTTTTGGCTACCCCCAATCTCTTGATTAGAGAGAAAGGGGCAGTTTGGCCATGTACTGTAAATAAATATTCTTTAAGCCAAGAAACGTTATGCCACTTTTTTGTGTGTGTGTGTGTGTGTGTTTTTCCTAGGGCATTGCTTGGTTAGGTTAAAAATGCAGGGAAACCCTTGCAATCACTTGCAAGAGAAACTTCAAAAGCAATGATCTTTTAAGGATAACGAGGTTTTACAGCTAGAGAGGGTTTTCCAGAGGAACAGCAAGGAGCCTGTGAATGAAGAGAAGCCGCAACCCTGAGAATAAAATTGTGACCCCCCAAAAGTAAATTTAGGGGAAACATTTTTATTTTTATAATGTGCAGCTAGTACAGCTGCCTGTACATTCCAAAGTGGAAGGAAGATGTCTTTTGCAGTGGGAATTAATGGCATTGCAGGAAAGTGTGAAGGGCCAAGGCTCAGTGACTGGAACACATGCTCTGCAGGCGTGAAGGCCCTGGATTCAGTCCCCATCACCACTTTACATATCCTAGGCAGCAGGAATGTGAAAGCTCTCTATTTATGATCTTATGGAGCCTTTGCCTCCACATGAAGTAGCTCTGTATGTCCAAACACTTGCTCCATTCCAACTGCAGGGAAAAAGAGAAGCTGGCTTTTGTGCTGCCTTGCCATGACTCTCAGTCAGGCAAAAGAGGGCTTTGCCTGCCAAGGCCCTGGGTGCTCTGAACAGGCTGGGTTTAAATACTGGGGGGAGGGGGAGGAACGGTCCAAGAGCTACCCAGAAAATACTGTACCTTTGGATTTTCCTAAGGCTGCATGGACAGAAACACACAGACATTAGTGTAACACAAACTAAGGCCCAAATGGCTCTCCTCCTGCACCAGCATGGCTATTTATTGGGGGGAAGAGAGGAGGGGGAGCCAGTGAGGGTAAGAGGACAACTTGAGAAAAGCCCAGTAATCAAGTCCCTCCAGCTTCAGGGTATTACTACAGAGGAACCGCAGGGTGTTTAATGGAAAGAAGAACCAGAGAAAATGGAAGGATTCTGGGAAAACAATGAGCCCTCTTCCCCCACCAATTCCCCCTCAGAATGTTAACAGATGATTTGGAGAGGCAGAAAGAAGCAGATTGCAAGGATCTTATGAGGATAGGAAACCAGAGGAACTACAGAATGGATGAATACATGAATGAAATGGGAATGTATCACAATTCCTATATGGTTCCTCTCTCTGGATCAAGGGAGTTGGATTTTGTTCTTGGCAGGACAATACTGGGAACTGAAAGCTATCAGCTCACATGGAAAGCTTTAAGAATCAGCCTATCGTCTCTCCCAGGCTAATTTGTACTCTCTTTATTTCTTCTTGTTTGGGCTCCTCCCATCACAATCCCCTTGGTGCATCTGGGAAATGCTTTGAACATAATTTCTCCCATACTTCTCCCATATGGTTAGAATATAGTTCTGTGACAAGGAAGTCTGTCATGACAAACTTAAAAACATATATTTGTATTTCTGCCCGTGCCTGACTAGTTTTATGTACTGAAACCTTGGCTTAATAAATAACAACAACATCCAATAACTAGAAGCAGCATAAGAACAATACATGACGATCCTCAACTGTTTAATGCAAATTTCACAGTTGTCCCAAATACAATCTTACAAGACTCTGAGGTTTGTCTGATTGTCACAAATTTTGACCTGCTGCATCTGTATGTAGCCTGGCATGGAGAGGGGAGAGCACAGAAAGAGAGTGCCATGTCCTTCAAAGGATATCAATTCCTCCTAACTTTGTCTCTGGTTCTCAAAGGATTTCCCTCAGATTTGTGACTCTTCATTAAAAAAGTAAAGTTCCCAGTCTCTGCTTTAGGGAATCTATATTAGGAAACAGATTATGTACTATCCAAACCTATTCACTTTTCATAAAAGTTTGATGTTTCTTTTAGCCACTGCAGGCCAAAGAATGTGTCCAAGACTTGGGGTAGATTAGTTTGTTGATGATAAACTGGCCTGTACATTTTTGGTTAATGATGGGAAGAGCTCATATGTGGGACATTAGCTATCCATGCTTGCTACTTTACTATTTTATTATTCAATGTGATGTGCATATGTAATTGGTAACATGCAGATAACAAATTCATCTCTTGATGATTCCTCAAAATCAACTTAAGTCACAGAAAATGTTATTAAGGCTCAGGTCCAGCTCTCAAATGGCAAGATGTGGAAGGCTGCTCACAGAGTCACTCCTGAGCATCCTGTCTGACAAAGTTTCTCACGGTAATGAGAGCTAATATATAACTAGTGCGCTGGTGGCACAAATCTGACAGTGAATGTGATCCTATCTAGGTGAAGGACAGTAGCTGCTATTAAGTGTAAGAGGTTGTGGCAGTGAAGAGGGTTAATGTTGGGTTTACTTTCCACAATCTCAGTGAATCACTTAACAGGATTCCTGGGTAGTTAGTAGGCTGCTCAAGAAACATCGTGCTGAACGGCCTACTTAGTGACTTGGCAAAGCATTTTGAGGGCTAAGCAACACAGATTTACTTCAAATTAGAGAGTCTAGTTTCTCCAAACAGAGGTCATACTGGAGATCCACAGAGTTAGGAGATCAATTTCAATTACCTACAGGATTTCTTCAGATTGAGCTCAGCCTGTTAGATTATATAGGAAGGGGCTCTTTGTTATTCCATATTTTAGAGATATCAGTGGGATGGTAGTTTTAGAAAATTATTTTAAAAATTCAAAACTTTTTCAAAGAGCTTTTAGGTTAAGATCACCTTTGCCTGTGTTTTTTGTTACTTTGGTATGGTATGATATGATATGACTACTTTATTCAAGCTGAGCTCTACTCTTGTAGTAGGATTAAAGTGGCTTGTCATTACCTCCTTCTGATATTTTTTTTAAATTTCTCAGCCTTGCCTACAGTCTTGGCATTTGCTGGATGTCACTTAATGTAGCTGTTAACTATCAGTAGTAGCAGTAACAGTAGCAGCAAAGGCCACTGCTTAGCTTCTGAGTCCAGACAAAGTCATCCAGGTGCTGCCACCTAATAAGGCAACAAATAAAGGTAATAATTCATTTTAAGAGTGAAAGCCAGGCGCCTATCTCCTAGAATGTGGAAATGTCTGCCAGTATTTGTTGGTCTTTGTGCAGATAGTCAGGTGACAAATGCATGTCATTATTAGACAATGAAGGTTCAACAACATCCATAGGTTAAACTGGATAGTTGCTGCACAGGGAAGCTAGAAAACCTTTCCACTCCTACTAACAAACCTGAATAGCATAAGTCAGCAGAACTGCCCCCCTCCCCCCGCACTATGGTGGGTTCACATGCCAAGCTAAAACATGATTAAAACATGATAAGTAAGTTTATGCTATCATGAACTGGCAGAACCAAATCATAGTATAATCTCTGAACCCAGGGCACAGAAGCTCAGGCCAAAGACATCTATTCTTGCATTTCTTATGGCAGTAGGAAACACATGATAAAAATTAAGCATCCTGGGCTAAATTGTCACACTGCAAGGGGATGGTGAAATCAGGATCTTATAAGTATCACGATGACTAGGCTTATTTCTTCATCAATGCCTGTACTAGTCTTTTACTCCTAATTAATCTTGATGGTAACAGCAGAAAGGGAGTTGATGATGATAGACTGTCAATCATGGAAATCTCCTAGCACAACTTCCCTTAATCCTCTACTAGAATAGAGGATAAGATTGTGATCAGATACATAATTAATTTAATTCATAGTTCATAGATAGCACAACTTTCCTCTGGAAAAGTTGGCTAACTCAGGATGACGTTCTGATATGTCAGAATAAGCATAACTGGCACATAATCCTTGGCCTCATAGATCACTGCCCTGGCTTCTGCCAACTTCAGAAACTAACCTTTCTCACCTAACTTGTCCAATAGAACAAATACCATTAGCAGAGGACTACTCAGGCAGTTAGGCAGGCAGGCAGGCAGGAAAAGTAGCATATTTCTTTTCAACAGGCCATAAGTCTCATGCTTGGGGATGGGAGAGGCACTTAAGAGCAGGGTGAGATGTTATGACAAGGTGATGAGGCATCTGTACTCCTTAAAACATAGCCATTGTTTCACCTAGGAAGTAGGACTCCGAGCCAACATAGCCAACACTTCTAGCTTGCATCCCAGATTATCCCCATACTCTTTTCACAACAAAGCAAAAGAGCCCCTACCCATCCTTCTTGTAGAACTCAAGCATCATGTTGTCCGTGGCCACACTGAGTGGTCGTCGGGTCTGATCTGAGTGCTTGTGGTCGGCGTGGTCCATATCGGGTGATGGCATAGAATTGTAGTTTGCATTGTGGTTCACATGCACAGGGCTTCCATAGTTCCCAGTCAAGTTGAATTCAATGTCTAATTTGGAGAGACAGCAAAATAGTCATGCACTGCATATGTTGCAAACAAAGGCCTACCATGGACTAGCTTCCATCTCAGAGAAGAACCTCATCCCAGTAGGAAAGCGTCTCACACACACACATACACACACCACCACATATGAGAAGGCAAACTAGCAAATTCTTATGGGACTTATTAGGTGAAAGTATTTTTCACAAAGTAAATATAAAGAGAAGGCATAAAACCACATTATCAACAGCTGGTATCACAATTCTTATTTTCAAATTACAGCCTTAGACACTGTGGCCTGACTAATTGTTAGAGAGGTACTAGTCATGTAGGGAAGAACAGTAGGTAGTAATTGAGAAAGAACTGCATAAGCAACAGAATTAATATCTAACTCTCACTACTAGCTCTGGTGTAGTTTGACTCTGCTTGATAGAGGCATCCAAAAAGAGTAGAAGGAAGAAAAGTGTCCTACCTCCCGGAAAGAACCAATCAGCATGCTGGATAAGGGGTTCAATAATTGCAACTATCTGTAGAGAGACTGTTGCCATCATCTCTGTGATGTTTCTGAAATGAATGAAGAGATCCACAAAGACAAAGTCATGAGGATAGTGATTCTCTTGAGCACCTGGAAAAACCTGAAGATCTCCTGCTTCTAATTTCAAATTAGCCTGCTTTGTATCCTGCTTCTACAGCACTCCTTGCCTTGTGCCATGTTCCATTTTCTAAAAACACTTTTAGGCGTATGAAACCATTAAGATACAGCCATCTGATCAAAGTATTCCTATTAAAATCAATATCGGCAAAGGACAGCAAATAAAATATTGTCCCAGAGTTCACATGCTTAGGTTACAATACGTAGCATTTTAAAACAGCAAAGCCCTAGGTTTCAACCTCTTACCCTTCTGTCTGAGGCCAGAGGAGATTTGGCCCCAGCACAATGGCTATGTTGCTTGGTGTCATTTTGTTTGCATCTTGGTACTCAGTTAAGTTTGCAAGGAATTTGATCAGGTACCTGCAATGAGATGAAATCAAGTGAAAATTGAAGTGAACAAACATAGAGGTGCTGGGGTACAAACCATGAGCTCAGCCTGGTTAATTTTATTTGCTAAAATGGCATCAACCGAATGCTTTAGCATGAGATAAAAAAAGAGTAGATAACTCAAATAGCGCATTCACTTTCAAAAAAAGGGGCCAAGCTATTCCTCTATATTGTAACACCCCCTTCTGCAAGATGAGCAACTGTCACCCTCCTGAACCGAGAACCATCTAAAAGCTGAAATGATGAAAGTCTGACATGGGTCTGGACCTGCCATCCTTAGGAAAAGTGAAATTCCTAGAAATTTATGTATTTATCCATCAATATCCATCAGTAGCCCATTTGGAATTAAAGTGACATTGATCCAAACTGTTAGTATTCTGGAGTAGATCCGAATTTCAACACTTGGCAATTACCCTGGACGGGCACTTGGGAATACCCATTATGGCTCTAAGGAAAGCTAATAGAATCTGTTCATATGTTGTAAAATGTAAAGGTGGACCAAATAGTGGCATTCCCCTGGGTTTTCAGAGCAGCATGGATAATTTGAGCCTTTTACTTTTCTATTGCTGTGGAAAACCACCCCCAGAACTAATATTGATTAACTTGTTGGATTGTATACTTATTAAGTATCCATTTGTGTCTTCATTTGTGGGAAAACATTTTAATGTTCCACCCCTCTCAATTTATGATCAGATGTTCACTTTTGCAAAAGGATCTCAAAGTTTTCAATTATTGCTGCATCATCCACATAATTGAATTTTTCTTTCTGCTAATTTTAGGGCATGGATGTTGAGGGAGGGATAGAATTTACTGGAGTGTAACTCATCTTCTCACATTGCTTATGTATTAAAAGGAGGAGGCATCTATCAAGTTACTCAAAACTGCCCTTGTGTGCTTCTTGAGATTGAGCCAAATGCTGTTTGAAAGTAAACAAACTTTGCTTATAACTTTGAATGTGATTATTGGATGTACTTTTCAGCAAGGAATTATAACCCCAGGCAGTGATCAAATTGTTGATCTATCCACCTGGAAGTCTGCTTGTTTGGGATCAATAATGTCCTTCTCAATAACTCACAATTACATATATAGGTATCATATCAGTTTTCCACCTTCACAATGTTTCTTATTGTGGTGGGATTAAATACAAGATGAACTCTACACATTTCTTCAAATTGCAGCAGAACAAATTGGTTGTTGACCATTGATCTACAAGGAGGAAATAGATATGTCTATTATCCTTCTATCTTGTGTCTTCTCGAGAAAAAGAGAATTCAAATCACAAGATGGCCCAGATACAAACTGCTGACCTAATTCAGATGGCTCCTATGTTTATCCCTGCATTTGGATAAAAAGCTTAACATTTCCTGATAGTGTACAAGTTGTTCCCACACCTGTTAAATAGCCCTACCTGAAGGCTTTTTAATTAAAATGAGGATCTAGATCAGACATGTCAAACACAAGGCCCACGGGCCGGATGCGGCCCGCGAAGTGGTTTCATGTGGCCCACGAAGCCATCCTGGAAACAGTGAGGGAACGGCCTCTGCTGTCTTGGCTCTGGCCCAGGCCGGCCGGGAGCCAATGTACAATTTTGTGGTGGCCATCTATGCTGAAACGTATTCAGTCTTAGCTCCACAAGGACATCTAGAAACAGCAAGGAACCAGCCCCCGCCATGTTGGCCCTGCCCCCTGGGTGCATGCTGGGGAAGAGTCATGCTTTGTGAGGAATGAAGAAATGGACCATGCCTTGGCGCTTGTCCTCCCACCCCCTTCTGCCAGAGACCCTCAGATCTGTCCCAGTCCTGCCCAGGCCCCCACAGGCACCCTTGACGCAAACAATGTAGAGCTGGCCACGCCCACCCTGGCCACACACACCCCGACCCCCCCGAGGGCAACTGCAATGCTGATGCGGCCCTCAATGAAATTGAGTTTGACACCCCTGATCTAGATGGTATCTCAAGGGAAGGATCATGCTAATAAGTGAAGAATGGATTGTGTTTCTACTAGGAGTGTATTATTTTGAGATGCTAGAGCAATCTCGTAAACTGAAGTTTACCTTTCCTCCTTAGTGTTGGGACTAGAGCTTTCTTGAAGGGTAGGCCATGAAGACAATTCTTTCTCCAGGGACTCCATGGTTATGGCCTCTGGCGGCAGGGTAAATTCTCCTACAACTAGGTTAATATTAGAGCACGTCCTGCTATTGAGTGGGAGCACCTCACATATTAAAAATATTCTTGATGGTGATTCAGGTACAGAGACTGGCTCGTTTAGCCCAGGGAAAATATCCCCCTCATGTAAAAGTAAAATGATGTTTAATGAATTAGCAGCTGAAAATGCTGTTTGTAACCTTGATCTAATGTCCTCAAGATCTTCTACTATATGTACCTGCTCTTCCTAGAAAAGCAATTTGGGGTATTGGAGGGGCTCACTTTTTTTCTTGCAGTCTTGGGGAGTCATCTGAAGGTTTGTTATGTAGGGCAATGTTACCATATGAGGGCCTTATCTTACTCTCTGGCTTCTGGTTGGCCTTCTTCCCAAAGCTTAGCAGAGGATATGCACAACTATCTTGAAATACTCTTGTGGCAACTTACCAAAGTTCTCGCTAAACTTTAAAAACATTCACCATAGCCTATTTTGTGTTTCACTGATTATTAATGTGAATCATGGCAACATACAGCATTATTATTTTAAACTGTTTAACAGTTTTTTAGCTGTTTTAACTGTTTCACCTTCATGTATGTTTCACTTTGTCCTTTGGTGCTAAAGTCTGTATTCTGCCTCTTTGCTGCATAGAGAGGAGATGTAGTATGGATAGTCCTTGCTTAATGACCATACGTACGACTTGGTTCCAGAATTCCAAGAGTAGCACTTCCCCATGGTCACATGACCGCATTTTGGGTGATTGGCAGCTGGCTCTTTATGGCTGGTTGCAGCATTCTGTGACTTATGATTTATGATGCCCTTTTTTTGCCAGAAACTGGCTTTTTTGCCCTATTTCTGGTAAAAAGTGCCCATAGGAATGCACTGACTTGCTTAACAATTGTGATATTCACTTAACAACTGCCGCAAAAAAGTTCATAAAATTGGGTTCGTCATGAGGGTAACTCAATTTACAATCACCATGACTTAGGACAGAAATTCCAGTTTACCGTGAGGCGAGGACTACCTGTCCTGTTATCTATATGAGGACTTCCTTTCGTATTACCATCCACGTTAGCTGTTTTGTCAGCTGCTGCAGAGTTTGAAGGTTTTTTTTTTCTATTAAAGATTTTAATTCATCTAACTTTCTCTTGGCATCAGATGGCAGTTTGAAAATAGATATAATTGTGTGGGCAGTAAGCAAACAGTTGTTTGAAACCAGGGACAAATCTGCACTACTTCCTAGCAGGTTGTCGGTTGCGTCAGTTATTTCACACTCAGATCCAGATTCTTCTCCTTCACTTCTCTCTGCCATAGTTACGACACTGGATGTAATGGGTTGAGAGAATGATGTTGGGAGATAGGAGGAACAGCCTCAGCGTAGAGAGTGGCCTGATATGAGAGAGTCCAAAGAAGGAATGGAGGTGGTGAAAGCAGAAGGGAGCCTCCCTAGTTATTTGGAAAGTAAAGGCAAGGGAGAGGGAAAGTGCTTTTAGAGTTACAAGATACAGTTTGTGTAACTTTACAGTAAAGGTAATAGTATTCATGATTTTGGTGTCCTGTCTGGACTACCTTGAAGGGCTGAGGTTGGATGATAGTAACTTATCAGTTTCCCAATCTAATAAGATATAACTTTTATTAACTATGGGTACAAGGGACAAAGGGGATTCAGTTGTCCTCCATATTCAAAAATTCAGCGGCTTGTGAGTTGTTTTCTCAAGTGTTGTGTTTCTTCTGCAACTTCTATACTTGGCCTTTGTAATATTGTTGTTCTTATGCTTGTCAATTACTTTGTTCCTGATTTTGCTTCTTATATCATTTAGACTCAATATTGAGTTTTGAAGTTTAGGTACCTCCAATCCACAGAATGTTAACTGAGTAAATAAAATGAAGATGAAAAAAATAAAATAAATATAAAATAAAATTGAATACATAACTGATTATGTCAATTATTGGAAATTGGGAAGTCATGAAGGGTTCACCTAGTATTCTGCTTAATAAAATATTCGTCTTCTGTTTGAAGAAAAAACGAATGATGCTTCTTATCCTCTGGGAACCATGATAGAAATAGGGATACCTTCTTTCACAAATAAAAGCTAGTATTGGAATTGATGAAATTGATGAAATAATAGCATCTTGGTATATTGGTCCATTACCTTTTGAAAAAAAAAATGGTTGAACCTCAAAATCAAGAGAATGTGCGGCCTAACCATTCACTGTATAATTGGAGACATTTTGAAGGAGAGCTAGAGAAATGGTCTCCAACCTGAGTTGGAGATTTTAAACTGAAAATGTATAATGATCAAATTCAGAGACACAAACACAATGGGATGGTTAAAATGGATTCCAAGGTTTAATGATATTGGACAAAATCTGAGTCCTCCAGAAAATCTGGATCTATTTGATTAAGAGAACAAATGCTATATTAGGTCAAGGGCTATATTAGGCTGGAAATTTGCTTCAAAGAAGCATTTTGGAAGAGTGAAGAGTCTTAAGGATCTTTGCAAATGATGTCTGTTACATGATTACTCAAATACATGATTAATTGGCAGAATGTGAGAAGACGATGGAGTAGAAAACAATACATGTAATTGTCCTTGACTGTATCTTGAATCGTTCATGGGAGACTTCCTCAATGTGACTATTGAGCTGAACATCCTGGTGGCCTTAGAGAATTCAACTGAATCCATTGTCCATTCAATCAACTGATCACTTGAAAAGATGAGGGAACCACCATGAAAAATATATGGTGTGGTGGAAAAAACTATAATACTTTTGGAGTTTGCTGGTCTTAATGTGACTCATAGAAAAAAAAGAATTGTGTGCGTCCATTTAGTAAAAACACTGTGTTGCTTACAAGTGTCTAGTCACTAGTGAATAACTTTAGGTGGTCAAAAAATACACTTAATGCATGCCTAAGAATGAAAGTTTGCTGGCATTTGCAGAACAGTCTCTTATAGCCATATGGCCGAACATCTGCAGAGCAAGAATGAGGTGTCCTGATGAACAGCTCTAAAGAACTGTGAAGAAGAGTTGAGATGATTAAAGAAACTAAGAAAAAAGAACACTGATAAAACAGAAGGATGATCAGTTCCAGGCTGGATGTGCTAATTGTGTGATAGCTGAAAACAAGACTGACGGATTCAGTGGAAGACACATGTGGGCAATAAGGCTCCTACCAAACCATTCTGCAAAATCTACAAGATTCAAAATGGGATTTGGCATAGGCATATAATCCTGGGTGTGAATCACAGATCACAATGAAGAAATCTAACAATGACAAATGAATACAGCTACTTGTGGGTGCCAATTGACATATAGATATCATTTAGTACAAGGAATGATATGTTGTGCACCTTTAGTATTTGTGTACGATCCAAAGAGAATGCATTGATCATAATTTTTGCCACTTTCATGATGGCACTCCTCATGTTATGGAACACCTTGCCTTTCAAAAGGCTGTTAAAGTCACCTTGTTTCACCAAGCTTTTGGTAGGACCTGGGCTGCCACTAGAACTTTTCTTAGAATCCACTCTATGGATTCTATTTGTTTAGTTTTTATGATTTCATACTATGAAGTGCTGAGCCCTTAGAAATAGGGCAATATTTGAATACGTGTAGAAATAAACGTTAACCAAGCTGTTAAATCACAAGGCCTGTCAAACAAATGAATAGAATACAAGTGAAAAGAATACAGAAAAGAGATTTGAGGCACAGCAACTTTCACAACCATTGCAAGCTTCTCTCTGAGAAGTTGAACAGGTTAAAAAGTTTAGTAGATATATATTCTTGTATATTGGTTTTTGAGCAATGTTTGATTGCTTTTCTGGTCTGGAAAAAGTAATTCTGCTAAGATGCTAGTAAAATGGGAAGTGTGTGGAATGAATGAATGAATGAATGAATGAATGAATGAATGAATAAATAAATAAATAAATAAATAAATAAATAGGGATAGCAGATATAATAAAGTTCTGCAAACTTCTGGATTGGCTATGTTGACCTCTTCAGTGTTCTTTCTTCTTTGACTCTAGTCCAAAGAAGAAAGAACACTGAAGAGGTCAACATAGCCAGTATCATACTGTAAAGGGATTGTCTTTTGGGGTATTTACCTCCATGACTAGTACAATCAACACAAAACCATATTCTTCAGATTGTTTACACTTGCCTTAGATTATTGTAGCTGGCCTTAGGCAATTTCTCAAGGGCATTCCATAGTGCTTGCAATCTCTTGTCTTGGTCCTGAATGCTAAAAGAAAGAATAACTGAGATTAATTCAATAGCAAGCTAGTTGAGAGGGTAGCAAATAAATCTAATAAATAAATAAAACTGCAAAATAAATAGTAAAATAACAAACAAAATACATCAGGGTCATTCTGATAAAACAAAAAAAGTAGAATTTCAGGCTGTTTCCCCTGCATCTCTCTTTCACAAAGATCAATATAATTTATTCCCAAATAAAACTCTGCAGGGTTGCCATTTTATTTATATTCTAATTTGACAGCAAGAGGCAAAACTTTGGAAAGCAGAGAAACCTGACTTTATGAAAAAAAAAATTCAGGAACTCACTTAGAGGCTTGGATCCATTCTTCATAAAGTTCAAAGGTCATGAGGGGTTCTGGCAACTCTCGAAGATAGGACTTCAGTGCCCCTGTAGAAGATACACAAAAACACAGAAAGAACTTTTTCTTGTTTCAAATGTCTTATCTTTTTCTTATCCTTCCTTTGGCCTTGTGCTATACTGGCAGACAAGAGTAAAATTTTATAAATTGCTCAGAGATTGATGTACTACGGAGTGGTATATAAGTCTAAGTGCTGTTGCTATTGCTATTAACAGGCTTAAGAGCATACCATTAAATAAATAGAATTCAAAAGAGGGAAAATGTTTTAAAGTCTTTGAATCAATCACATCATTTTCAATAGAAATACGTTTTTGGATGGATTATGAGAATAGATACAAGTAATCATCGACTTACAACCATTTGTTTAGTCACCATTACAATGCCACCGAAAGTGACTTACAACCAGTTCTTGCACTTACGACCATTGCAGCATTCCCAGTCACATGATCAAAGTTTGAGTGCTTGACAACCAGCATGAATTTACAATGGTTGCAGCATGTGATTCCATTTGTGATCTTCCCAGCCGGCTTCTGACAAGCAAAGTTAATGGGGAAGTTGGATTCGTTTGACTGGATGATTTACTTAACCATGCAGTGTTTTGCTTAACAACCATGCCAAAATACAGTAGGTTGTAAAATCAGCCACAACTCACTTACCAACCAACTTGCTTAGCAGCCAACATTTTGATCTCAGTTGTGGTTGTTGAGGACCACTGTAATATTCTGCTCTAATATTATAACTAGCAAATACTGACATACCCCACACGAATGCAGGTATATAAAAAATTAAGGCGTTTGTTCTGTAACAATGGAATGTATGGGTAGATAGGAGAGAGCAAGAGCTACCATAAAGTAGTTCAAAATCTATCTTGGAATTGTTGAAATTAGCATACATTGAGCAAGTCAGCCACTTCTCCGTATCATAAACTGGCCATCAGCATTTGTCCTTGGTTTGCATTTCCCACTGGAAGTGCCTTCTATGGTCCAAATTCTTGTCATTCATTATGAAGACCATCTGATAGGCTAAAGAGTGATACCCTACCTGCAATGGCATGGGGGTCTGCTGAATATTCCTGAACATCCACAACACAGCAGTCTAACGCTGCCTTAAGCTTCTTTAATTTGGAAGCAGAGGGGGCCACTCGGAACAGACCCTGCAAACCAAAGAGAAGCAAAATAAAATCTGATGAGGTGCCATGACATACACTTGGGGCCATATAGTACGGGTTCTCTGAAAACAAGAGAATGAATGCTTTCTCTAACCCCTACCCAGATGTTTCGTTTGTTTATGCAACTGATCTACCACTCAAAGCCCAGTGGATTCTAGGCGGTTTACAGAATCTCTAGCTATAAAATTGAACCTCAAAAAAAGCAAGCAAGCAATCTGTACAGACCTCCTCCTGCATGCCACATTCAAGAAGCATAGTGACACAGGCCTCAATAGGGAAGGCAATCTCCCGGCCACTGACAGCGAGATGTTCCTCTAAGGGCTTCCCAAAGGAGGGCTTTTCAATCCAAGCTTCTGCAAAAGGCAGTTCAAAAAAAAAAAAGATATAATCAAAACAGAACAGGTTCACTACACTTGAGCTACTCAAGTCACTCTTCCTTCCTCCGTAGCTCCTAACAGCTGCATACAGAAGGATGAGAAAATCCGTCACTATTCTTTGTGTTTCATTTATGTGGCAGACGAAGAGGAAGTGAAATTTTTCTGCAGACCTATTTAGGTCTAGATTCAGGTTCCTCAGAATTTATTTATATACTAGCTGTACCCAGCCACGCGTTGCTGTGGCTCAGTCTGGTAAAAGCGTGTGTTGCTTTTACGTCCAACAGATGGTGCTGTTTTTCAAAAAAAGCATGTTTTTACCTGTCACAGGTGTGACATCTATATAATACAGGTATATAAAAACACGCGCGTATTCGAATGCAACATTGTGTCAAAATCTCAAAGCAATCGGTGAAGAACTTTCGGAGATTTAAGATTTTGAACAAACGAACATTTACATTTTTATTTATATAGATTTATACATATTTACATTGTGGAGTCTTTGATGCTCTCTGAGCTTGGTTGTTTTCTTGCAGATGTTTCATTACCAAACTTAGTAAAATCAGCAGGGCTAGAAGGGTTTGCTCTCATTTTAAATACTAGTGGTTTGCCATGTCATTTATGGCCATTGTAACATCCTTGTGTCACATGATTGCCATTTGGGCACTTCACGACCAGTGGATGTTTATATATCCCAATGTCATGTGATTGGCAGTTTTGGACAAACAAGTCAATGGAAAAGCTGGCAGATCAAATCACAGATTGTGGTTATGTGATGTCTTGCTTAATGACCAATGGTAATTCGCTTAACAATCACAGCAAAAGTGTGATTCAAAGTCTGTCACGGTCATGTGATGTCTCCCTTAATGTCTGTGTTGCTTAGTGGTCCATGGTCGTTAGACTTAAGACTATCTGTAGATCCCACTGAGTCCTTGCATTTTAGAAGAAGGTGGTGGTAATCAGTCTCAAATGGTAATATATCATTTTGGGGTATTCTGACAGCATGGTGTTATTAACTGGATGTGATTATTATTCACTATCTAACTTGGTAAATAAACCAACAATAGCGGAGTGGAAGTTTATGGATTTTATGCTTAACAGAGAACTGAATCATCCTGAGAAGAAAGACAGGCGTCACGTTGCCTGAACAAATAATCGACAATGTGTCTCGTATACAGCGGCAACGGTAACCTGAGAAGCACCATACTTACCCTGCTGTGCTTTGATTTGAGGCAACACATTCTGCAAAAGTGCTAATGACTTTCTGTGGTATTCTGCTTGCACTTCTATTAACTGGGAGAAAAATAAAATGGGATGTAGGCTGTGAGAATACACAATCTATAAGGCACCACAGAATTACAAAGAGGAGGGGAAGGAAGCCAAAGAGGGACAAAGATGCAAAAAGCCAGGCTTTCTGGTACTTACAGTTTGAAAATAGTTTGCATAGTCTATCTCTTTGGCCACAAAATTGTACATGTCAGCTGAGAGCTGATCCTGCAGGAAGCACAAAAAAGAAAAGAAAAGAAAGAAAGCACTGATTCTAACTCAAACTCAGAACCACACCTGAAGTGTTGCTCGATGCTTCCTTATTTTTTACAGAAAGTTTAAAATATGTCCCAAGAAGCAGAGGAATGCTTACTGTATTGCAATTTACAGTGCTGATATTCCTTTTAATAATCTCTTTGAGACAAATCAACAAATATACAATAATACCATTTCCTGATTTTTTTTATTTAAACTTTTTTATTTTCCCCAACTCTCCCCCATACACATACCGTGATATTTATCACGTGTTAACATACATCCTTTTTACATTCTTATATATAAGATACTTTTAATAAAATGAAATAAATACATACATATTTCTTTTGGTGTTGCTCGCCCATTTCCCCTTTCACCGTATCCACACTCCTTCTTCTCTACCTTCTTTCTCCCTTTCTTCTCTTTCTTCCCTACTTCTTCCTCTCCTCTCCTCTTTCCTTCACCACTCCCCTCCCCTTTCTCCCCACTTCTCCTCTTCTCCTCCAACCTTCCTACTTCCTTCCCCCCTCCTTTACTCTCTTCTCTCTCTCCTCTCCTTTCCCTCTTCAGATACAATTCAGGGGTAATGTCCGAGCAACTCCCCTCTCTAAATTTTCCTATCTGTATTATATATAATAAGATTTATTTTCTATTATGTTAATACTTCTATTTATCTAACCTTCTCGGTATATACTTCTATAAATATTTATACGACCTCCAGTTATTCAATACTGTGTCACCTGGGTCTCCCTCCTTATCTCCTTATTTCCTGATTATGTGCCATCCCAAATACCAGATTTACATGTATAATAAAAAATGAATTTGCAGCTACTTTCTAGCCACCTCCTGGAAGTCAGTTGACTAGAATGAAAAAAAAGAGGAGAAGAGGGGAGGGGAGATACCCTGCAAATCTCCACTCTGTTTGCTGCCTCCTCCATCTCTTCCCTGAGAGCATCCGCTTTGGCACCCGAAGGCTGCAAGTTGCTTGACAAACCTGAAGACTTGGCTGACTGTTGCCATCTGTAGGAGAGAGAAGAACAAAGATGCAGGCTGCTCAGTGGGACACTGGACCTATCTTAGTACTGTTCCTTCCTGTCTTACCAGAACAATATACGATCATGTCCCATGGAAGGAAGCACACTCCCTCTTTCCCTCTCCCATAAGCACAAGCTAATTTTAAGAGTGAAGGCACTTTTGTTAGCATGAACTGATGCCAACATTTTCAAGTGCTTATCCCTCAGAGGTTGGTTTTTTTTTTCCTCCACAGAAATGTTAGCTCAGTGCCTCAGTGACTTCAAATTTCTCAAATTTTTGAAGACAATATCAAAGCTCTTTCAGAAGAGGGCAAAAATAGCTGATTTTTGAGGAATACCAAGAAAGAAAAAGCAATGTGTATGTCTTCAGGCACATAGTCACTCTCTAGCTTGACTAAGGGCACAGTAATACTAGAAGGATTTCGTTTTATTATTTACACCAGTGAACATCTCAGCCATGGATTCTACAACTAGAAGGTGTGAAAGAGAGCAATGCTTTTGGCCTAATCAGAGCAAGTGTTCTGACTAATAAAGTACAATGAAGCAATCATATCTATGTCGGTGCAAATCTGAACATTACTTTTTCCCTGAACAGTAAAGACTGAAAATCTATGACAGAGTATTGCAAGGAAAATGAAAATCCTCCTGTTCTCTTTTCTTTGGAACTTTGAAAAAAATCTTTGGGGATTAGAATAGCATAGATAATGGAATTGTATAGATCACTATTTAGTTGATCCGGATGGTGATTACAGAATTCCACTGTCTTTGCTATTCTAAGAATAGGGATTGATTACTGGAGATCACTTAGTGACTCTAGCTCTCTAGGTGGAAAGAGATGCCTTATTCAAGTTACCTTCATCCCACCCATGTAGAGCCCATATTGCTCCACTTGGATGTTCTGGAAATCCGTGAAAGCTTGATTATTTTCCCAAGCTTTGGGTAGGATAGTAATAAGACCCTGTAACATTCTGTTTTATTTTATTCTTTTTCTGGATGTATATCTCTTTGTTCTTTCATTGTATTGTTCCAGCTTTTTTATAATGTAAAAAAATTCTGTGTCCAGAATCACTGTGAGTTGAATGCTTTTTAATCTATGCAAATAATTCAATCTTTGAGGAAGCTTTCCCCCCATTTTTTAAAATTATAAGGCCAGCACTAACAGATTTTCCCCTGTGCCACAATGGCCACTGCTGACCCAAACTGAAGGCTGATGGAGAGAGCACACATTTGTACAATCCTGATGTATAAATGACAGGAGACAGGTCAGTCTAGCATAAAACTCCATCTGGGATGGGTTTTCTTTTTCAATACTGAAAGCTGCCTTAAGGAAACTTGTTTAAAAACTAGTCCAGCAATAAAAACAGATATATGAAGCAAACAAAGACTTGGCATTGCAAAGACAACTGAGAATTTTTTTTATCTTACCTTGTTTTGGATGAATCCATGTCCAGGACTAATTTTGCTAAGTGCTTCCTCTGTTTTTGAATATTTGGGATTTCTACCTGAAGTATTTTTTTAATTGAAAAAAAAAGAAGGTTATATAGGGAATATATATATATAAAGAATAAGACTGCATTGCAAATTCTACGTACTGAACTTATATGACATTATAGTAAATTTGCAGGTCTAGCATTACAGCCAATGCCAGAACCATGGACAGCTCCTATTCCATAAGAATACTCACATGGCCAGCAAGAGAACTTGCCACCATTGCCTTCAGAATAGCCACCGGTGTTTAAGGAACAGAGCTGGAAAGAAAAGAAGCCTCCACCTAGAACAGCTTTACAACCTGGTATTTTCCACATGTGTGGCATTTTGATCATCATAAAGCACAGCCAGGTGGCCATGTATTCTGAAAAGTCTCAGAACCTCTTTGGCCCATAATATCATAAGAGCACAAGGAAAGATGGTGTGGGGGCACAGAAGAGAGGAAATAGCTCTGCAATTCCTGTCCCATAGTACCAGTCGCAGAGAAAAAATTAATAGAATTTCACATGCATATATATATATGAATGAAAGCAAGCTGGACTACAGGTAGTTCCCATGGCCACCTAATTACTGTTTGCAAGCTTCACAGCCAGCTTTTGACAGGCAACGTAAATGGAGAAGCCAGCAGGAAGTCACAAGTTGCAGTTTAATGATCATCGGTGATTGAAACAGAATCATAGATTAGAACATGTAAGTCTGGCGCAGGCATCTGATGTTTCACTTAATGACCATGTTGCTTAGCAATTGAGTTGCCTGTCTCAATTGTGGTTGTTAAGTGAAGACTACCAGTACTTGTTTGTGTTGTCTGCAGGATAAACCTGGGAGCAATTAAACCAGATGGTATCTCCATAAATAAACTGAAAACAAACTGTGAGGACTCTCTCTGCTTAGTTCCTCTGTGAAGAACCTTGCAGATGATATAAGCCCTAAACAGGTGCTCACAGTGATAAACACGGCTCATTTAGTACTTGAACACCAGGATAGGATCAGATGCATTTTTCCTACTTGGTTGTGAATTTGACTTCTTAAAGAGACTACCTTGTTAGTTCCCTTAATTCATCTTGTTGATAGGATACGACTTCTCTTCACTCCAGCATCCAAACTATAAGAGGCCAGAAGCCAAAGGCCAGACGTTTTTGACCACAAGCGGATCCTGAAATCCCTCCTGTTCTCAGATCTGCTAGAGATCCATTCACATTTATACCAAACCATTCCCTAAAGGACCCCGGGCAGAGATTCACTTTGAAGTAAGCAACTCTTACCTCTGCCAACACAAACAGTGGCTCTATCACATCCCTTTCAACTTGCAACTCAAAGTGGATGAGCTCTTGCGCTAGCTTGTCCTCTGCTTCTCCACATAATTTCAGCATCTTCCTGCAAGGAGAACAGGCAGATCTCAAGAGGAAAAGCAAGCAACGGATTAAGAGAGCAATTGATTCAAGAGATGTTCCTCAGAGGCAGGGCAGGGCAGATGTCTAACATTAATGTTGCTTAGAGTCACCTAAACCACGAGATGGGCAGCAAATAAATTTGCTAAATAAAAAACATACTAACAAATAAAGATTGTGCCATTCTTTAGACTCAAGGTTGCAGAGCAAGGAGGCTTCTATGGCTTGTCACATTCGTGATTTTACTACACATTTTCCACCGAAAAGTCACTTTCAGTGATAAATAAATAATCAGTAAAAATCGTGGGTGGTAAGAAATGGCTACATGCTGTTCCACCTTCCTGCTCTGATTTATCCCTCGATTTATCTGACTTGAGGTTGCATGCTGGAGATCGATCATAATGGATTGTAAAGTTCTAAGCTAAAGAGGTCTGTAGGAAAAAGCGGTGGCTTATTTACAATTAGTTGAAGCAATTTAAATGGGGGGGGGGGAAGGGTAAAATATTTATTACAAACACTGTATTTGTGGCTTTAATTTTTTTTCCTGTATGTGATGATTAGTACTTGTGAGCTGCCTTCCCCTTTATGAGGAAAAGCTGGAAATGAGACTCATAAAATTAATCACTCCAGCCTTACCACAAGCACTCAACGTATTTTCAAATGAACCAATTCCCCAAATGGGGAAACTTTATTGTGACTGAAACGCCTTCCTTGATTCTCCCCTCCCAAAGTGGTAGCTGTTCCATAGACACTGGACTGGGATCTTACCCAAGCAGGGAGTCATCTCCTAGGATAGCAGAACCTTCCATCAAGCACTGAGCAAGTGACGTCAAAGGCAATTTCTTCTGCAACAAAAGCAACTGTTTTATGATTTTTTTTTTAAAAAAAGAACCAATGACATCCCAGCCTTTTCATCTCTTTCAGAAAATAACTCTACTTCCACATAACCAGTATTCTGAATCGTTCACTTCCCACCATATTCTTTTAGAATTCATACACATACGAAAGTGGAAAACCCCTTGAAGGGGGTATTTGCATCTTAATTCCACGGCCTTCTCTTTTCAAAGTTAAAGAGCCCTATTCCCTGATACAGGGAATATCAGGGTCTCTCACCGAGCGCTTATCAGAATCCGATCCCTGCTGCCCCTGAAGACATGCCGTCAGCTTCTTGTGCGTGCTGTGGGAGACCTGCTTCACCAGCTCCAACCGCTTCTCCACCTGTGGACGGACATCTTACATATCACTTCAGAAAAATGCATCCTCATCTCCCAGCATGCAACTCTCCTCAAAGCAAATCCTCTTCCTCAAGATAAACTGCTCCTCAAAGTAAATTCAAGCTACGCACGGCCAACCTGACAGACGTTTTCATAACTCAGTTACAATTTGCTTTCTGAAACAGCCTTTTTTTATTAACATGGTGAACTATGCAAAATGTGTGAACGTATCTCATTGCTCCTTAACACAAGTATATCTTTCATGCCTAGACCTAATATTAGGCCATAACATGGTTTGTGTGAGTGGGCACATCCAGACTTTAAAGGAGTTAAGCAGAATTAGTTGTTTGCTGATTACAACAGACAAGTAAAAGTAGGCATTTTTCAGCTTATTCTTTCTCAGTTGCTGTAAATGGGCCAACCCCCTAATTAGCCTATAGAGGTACAAGGGAAGATTATTTTTTTTAAAAGGAAAATCCTCACAAGACCAGTATCACCAAACAAGCAGTGACTACCATGCTTATCTTCCATATTGATTTATTGATAAAACCAAGATTCATACATGAAAACAACTGTGATTTTGCATGAATTGCAGCACTTAGCATGAATAGCACATTAGTTTTTTTCTATCCCAATAATATATAAACTAGTGCGGTTAGTAAACTAATTCAACAGGAAACAAGAAGCCAATTATTTTAGCATTCATTTTAATTAAATGTCTTAAAATAGAATTTAAATCTTGTTAGCTTGAATAAATTTGTATTACATTTAACTACTTCTTATTGTTTGTTTTGTCTTTTCCTGCCCCAATAATAGTTTCTCTCTCAATGAACAGAGTCATAAAAGGTAAACTATAGAATGATTTATGAGCACTAAAGGACAATAGATAAATCCTGGAGTGAAGTGAATGTCATTTGGGGTTAATGAAAGCTGTAATCAGGACTAGACTTTGGAAAACCAAGAATGTTAAGGTTATTTTTCATTTTACATTTTGTACTCAAACATAAATATCAGTACAACTGATGTACCTTTTGTCAAGCATGATGGAAAATCTAACATAAGTATCATTCAAAGGGATGAAGCCACTTGGTATATGTGAACTTCATATTTTCAGGTATCTTATTGAATTATATTTCTAAAATAAGAGTCAGTGCTTTATATCTTGAGTAGACTGTGCACTAAAAACAAATCAATCTAAACTCTAATTGGAGCAACAATGATTTTTCAGGTCCCTTGGTGAATTATCTAAAAAAGTTTGGTTTGACAGAAATGACATACTGTGACAGCTTTATTGTATTTTCTTTCATCAGATAACTAATGGAGATGGAAAGAACTAAAATGGGCATTTGCTAATGGTTATCTTCAGGGACCATCTACCCAGCTAACAAGATTAAGCAGCATTATACTCAATCATCATTCATTAAAACAACAAGAATTGTATTAACTTAAGGTTGGTAAAAGAGAACATTATGGGAAAAGGAGGAAATCAAGTAAAGTTATTATGTGGATTATAGATTATAGAAATCAACTGTTAGTGAATGTTTCTTAAATGTAAAACCAGACAATACACTGTTTACCAAATATTAAGGTGATTATGTTAAAAAATTAATAAAACATATTTTTTAAAAAAAAGATTAAGCAGCATTGCGATGCTTCAGACCCCATTCACTAAGCAGTATTACCTGATTGAACGTCCCCTCTGGAATACCCCCACTCATGGTGGGATTCAGCCAGTTTGCACCAATTCAGCAGAACCGGAAGCTAATTTTTTGTTGCCCAGGCCCAGAATGGACTTCCGGAAGTGGCATCCACACAGAGAACCGGTTGTTCACATATTTGAATCCCACCACTGGTTCCCATATGGGCCATGTTCAAAAGAATTCTAAAAACCTGTATGTGGATCCTGCATGTTAGATTACCTTTTAATGGCTGCTTTTCCTCTGCCATTTGGGTTGTTTGTTTTTGTTTTAATTGTATTGCATGGTTGATTTTGCTGTATACTGTCTAAATTTGTTGTAATATATAAAATGGCTGTATACCTTTCATAAATGAATGAACAAACAAATAAATAAATCTGAAATACGATTATTATGTCTTAGTACCCAAGTGATCAGTGAGTCAGGCAGGTGTACTCTTAAAAGTATTTGACAGGGCAGAGGGCCAGTGCATTGAAACATGAGCAGTTTTTTGGGGGAAAGGTAGTTTAGATAATGCAAACTTAAAAATTAGACTTATGTTAACCATACAACCCATTAAATAAAAATCAGGTTAGTTATATATCCTCATGTTGTTCTTATGACCATCTGTTTTACATTTAGAATCTCTGAATAAGAACATAAGACCTAGGCAGTACATACACAAGCAGCTATCACGATGGCAGGAGTCAGAGACAAAAATATAATGGACTTGATTGCATTTTGTTCTGTGTGACCCAGCCTACACATGAATGGACTAGTATCTGGAAGGGACTGTTTTTTGAAGTAGCTTTTCCTAAAACAATGTCCCTCAAAAGCTTTGGACAAGAATACCTATAATCTGAGCCAGCATGGCTATTAGCCAAGTTGGTTGGAGCTGATGGAAGATCAATTTCAAAACTTTTGGAGACTACCATACTTGGAAAGGCAGCTCTAGAGATTAGTCTAGGCTCAGTCTAATCCTAATCCTAATCCTAATCCTAATCTAATCTATGTTATGTTTTCATATAATTTCCCAACAATTGAATCTAATTGATCCCAACACAGAAACCATTATCTTGATTAGGGACATATTTCAGACATCTCTTCTATAAACAGAGTATCACAGAATTCAGCAACATATTCAGTGAGTCTGCTTTGGAGTTAACTTTATCTTCAAGAAAATTAGTCTTTCTTGAAAATAGCATTCACTAGAAAGATAATAACGTGTCAAAAAGCTATTTGCATTTAGCAGAAAGGTTTTTTTTTAAAAAAATTAAAAACGTATATTTTAATATTTCCTACTTATTCACTTTCTAACTGAAATAGCGTTCAAATACATAACAATAGAGTCTTTAAAAAAATATTATTAGAGACCTTACCCTAAAACATCAACTTTATTCCTGATACCTTTGTCATTCTTGGTCCCAGTAACGTCTGTTTGGAAGACTGTTTTTTATATCGTATATGGCAATATTTCAATATCAAACAATGGCAAGCATAAGGTATCAGGAAAAAAACCCCAGTATAGTACCTGCAAAAGATCTTCATTCAGAACTTCTGTTTTCTCAGCCCTAAAACAGAAAGAAAGCATAGTAATTCAAGATGACACAATGAATAGTTTTGTCACAATATAAAAGTGAAATTTTTAACTTAGAAACCTGGACAAGGCCAAAGAAGAGCACAGCCTTCAAGGAGGATTGGAACACAAAATAGGAGAAATCCATCACCATCCTATTGCTTGGTGACGCCACTAGTAACTTATGACTAAGGCTAACTTCAACCTACTGTATATGATCCCTATAGCAAGTGAGACATAACACTTACCTTTATTTTTCTTAACCTTCACAAAATTGTACATTAGTTGAAATGGACTCTGGGTTCTGCAAACCATGAGATCTTCAATCTTATGACAGAATTCAAGTGATAGGTCCTTATTTTCTTAAAGACTTCTACAATAACAGTTCTATGAATTTCCCTTAATATTTAGAAATTCTAACTAGTAGGAAGTTTTTCCCTAATATTCATATGGAATAATTTGTGTAATTCCCACAGATCATCATAGTTTTATCCCACTGGAGCTGGGCTTCATCTTTCTGTAGACAACTCTCAGACCTTCCTCTTCACACTTCTTTTCCCAAGCTTCAACACATTCAGCACTTCCAATCATATGTTAAAGTACCTAGATTTTCAGACTCTCCATCCTTATTCTGATCATCTTCTATAAATGTATATCCTAGAGTCAGTGGTGGGATTCAAATATGTGAACAACCAGTTCTCTGTGTGGATGCCGCTTCCAGAAGTCCATTCTGGGCCTGGTCAACAAAAAATTAGTACTGGTTCTGCCAAAGTGGTGCGAACCAGCTGAATCCCACCACTGCCTATTTTAAACTATTGTTTTTGTTTCTATAAAAATAAGACTACTAATTAATTTTTTATCTTTTGCTTGAATAAAAATAACTATTGGATGGATTGAATCAACAATCCCTAATTTACTCCACCAATCTGTCTTCTAATGTAGCTAGGCAAAAGTCCTTGAATGATTCCAAAGTGAAGAACTGTTGCCAGATTTAAAAATTCTCAATATATTTACCTCTGTACATTTCTAGATATCATGGTTAATAGTCACTGATATCTATTGTTCCATAATTATATTCAAAATACTTATATCTAAGCCAACACAACTATTTTTGGTAGAAAATCTTTACATTAATTTATGTGGGCAAATGTTTGGATAAATTGGATTCTGGTGAAAGAAACTATATTTATGTATTGATTTTAAAATCTTTAAGTTGTCTCTCCAACGTTTAACTTTTCTCATAGAAAAAGTCCTAAATATATGCATCTTTCAGTGTGCAAACATTAATAAAATAATCTATTACTCTATCCACCTTCTCTAGTTCATGCTTTTCCATTCTCCAGCTTAGTACCTTGATGTGTTGGAACCACAATCCATTGAAAAAAAGCTAATGCACCCATACTTGATCAATCTAAGTTAAATAATAAAATCATCACTGCAAGTCAAGGTAGGTTTAGGTAATTTAAATATTCTTTTTCTTGTCTGTAGACTGTTGATGTTTGAAATAGTTCCTTTCTAATATCTTTTTAGTAATAATAAATAAAACACCTCATTTATTCTTTATTTCTAGATCACCGATTATAATTTCTCAAAAGAGATCTTCCTTCTCAAGGAAGGAATTACAACAAATTAAGCTTTATAGTTAACTGAAAAATCTGAAGACTTCATACTTTTGCTTGACTAAAGATCCATTACCCGACTGAAAGCTTTCTAAACACCTTATGGCAATTCTATCTCTAACAGCTGGGATGAGTAGGCATACTTTCTTCAAATAGAAGTGTTATATATTGATGTTTGCCAAATTCAAAAGTACTTTTTATCTCCTTCTCTCCCACCACCAAAAACCATTGGTTGTTAGCTACCATTATTCCAGGGAGGAAGCCAATTTTAACTATTTAAAAAAAATAGAACCAACTGAAAAATAGGCTTAAATATGAAAAATATCTAAAACATTAAGTCCTACATGAAAAGTGTGCAAAATGAATTGGAAAGATTTAATGAATTAGAAAGTTTCTGGATTATTGAATTCCACCAGCATCTCTTGTTTCAGTATAAGGTAGAAACTGACTACCATGGTGACTACTGAAGCATATAATCAATATACCAATGTAGTCATTAAAAAAGTAATGGACTCATATTTATGACCATGTTTCCAGATTTTTAAAAATGTAGCTTTATGAGACATAAACACTATACACTATTGTATTTTAAAAGCACAATGCTTACATAATCTACTTTCTTGATAAAAAAGATCATGCTCTTAAAAGAACTGAGTGAAGGATATTTCAAGGAATTTATCTTTTTTCAAAGGAAAAACTGAGTTACATTAAAAGAGTGGTTTTTTTTAAAGAATTCTAAACTGTAAAGGTACACAAGGAAAAAAATACACCAGAACATTATGATTCATCTGATAAATTTCTTCATGTAATCTGTATGAGCATATGGAAAAAATGATATGAAAATAGAACCAAGTGTTCTTTCCATTTATTAATTTAGACAGATTTCTATCCCTCCACAATCAGAAACTCTTGGTGACTTATACTGTATATAATTATAAAAAGACGAGTTAAAATATCCATTGCAACATGCAAGCCAAACAACCTTCATAGATAACAATAAAAACTATAGACAAAACCATAAAAGTGAAAACAAGAAAAATGAAAATAAAGATGGCCTGATAAAATCAGAAGAGGGCTCTCTGAAACAATATCTTATTCAACAACTTCTGAAACGTCAGCAAAAAAAGGGCTAGCTTGATTTCCATGGGGTAGGCTGTTCCACAGTTCATTATTGCCACAGTAAACCAGTGCCACCTTCATGCCAGACTCCCAAACCCCCTAAAATTGTGGGCTGTTTAACAGTTTCTTCCTAAGCAATCTAATTTGTTCTGATAAAGGCTTTATAGGTCACAGCCAGCACTTTAAATTGAAAACCAACCAGCAACAAGTGTTATAGGTTCCAAATGTTACATGGGCCATTGCATGTACATGGGCCATTGCATTTTGAACCAATTCTAGCTTCTGAGCAGCGAACAGAAGTACAACTTCCAATATGACACCTTACAATAGTTTAAAAGTTGATGATGAGGCCTTGACTTACTGCGGCCAGCTCCTGCTGCCCACAACTAGCATCTTACACAACTAGCATCTTAGCTAAAGCTGGACATAGACTCACCTGGTGATAATTTCAACCTGCCATCCCAGGAAGAGTCATGAATCCAGAAGGATATCCAAATTGTGAATCTGTTCCCTGATCTATAGTGCTTATTTGTCAAACAATATTCTGGTGGTGACAAAGAATTCTGATGTATCAATTTTGACTTATTAAGACTTATTAAGAGTTATCTTTGGTCTGTTCTCTCCTACTCAGATCCTGACAACTTCCAGATACCACATGACAATGTAGAGTTGACTTTCATCATCCTATTAAACCCCAAACCATAAAAAACGTATTTCAGTGACTTCATGGAGATATCAAGAAGTAGGGGACCAATTCCTGAGCATCCTATATATCAAGAGAAACCAGCCAACATCTCCTCCCCTCTCCTATACTGGAATGATCCACTGAAGACTGCATAGAACCATTGCAGAACAATGTCTCTTATCTGAACCCTGCAGTTGGTCCAATAGGATAACCAGGTGGGTGCACTTCTCTCATCCATGAACAGTCATCTGTGGTCAGCCAAAGTGAAGGCTGGTTTCTTAGGGCATTTCTCCATCAAACCTATCTCCCTGCAGTCAATCCTTCCCTGTCTTCATTCTTATTTAATTTTTTATTAGAACCTATCAACTATCTTTTAATCTTATTTTTTGTAGTCTTCGACAAGCATATTCATTTTTACAAAGGCTCAAAGAAACACAGAGACTATTCTTTTCTTCAGTGTTACAGATGAAGGACAGGGCTCATTTCTATCCATAAACAATGAAGGAGTAGTAATGGGGAAAGGAAGGTAGATGGGTGGGGCCCAACACATGGATTCTCATTGAAGATACAGGTAGTCCTCAACTTACGACCACAACTGAGCACAGAATTTATGTTGTTAAGTGAGAAATTTGTTAAGTGAGTTTTGTCCCATTTTATGACTTTTCTTGCCACATTTTTTAACTGAATCACTGCAGTTGTTAAATTAGGAACATGGTTGTTAAATTAATCTGGTTTCCCCATCGACTTTCCTTATCAGAAGGTCTCAAAAGATGGTCACATGACCCTGGGACACTGCAACAGTCATAAATATGAACCAGTTGTCAAGCATCTTCATGTGATCATGAGGATGCTGCAATGGTCATAAGTGTGAAAAATGGTCATAAGTCACTTTTTTTCAGTGCCACTGTAACTTTGAACGGTCACTAAATGAATTGTTGTAAGTCGAGGACTACCTGTACTCTAATGAAGATATTCACCCAAGGCCAATGATGGTGAATGCCTCTAGTTGGTACAAACTATCTTCAGTGGTACTGCTGTGGTTGTGATTCCTCCAGGATTGTATTTTGTTTTGCAGTTGGACAAGTTCTATTATGTTTTCAACACTATATATTTATTTATTCAATAAATTTATCTGCTGCCCAATTCCCAGTGACTAGACAGTTTACACATTGTTAAAAACATTTAAAAATAAAAAAATACTATTTTGCACAGATCTCTCTCCCCATGCAGTCATATCCTGTACTTCACACAGAAAAATATCGTGTTCTATAAATGGGCAGCAGAAAAGAGGCAGCCTATGATTCCCAAAGGAAACAACTCAATTCTACAGCTTGCACTGCTGGTAAACATCATAAATTAAATGAAGAGGTTCAGAGATTAACTGGCACACTACCTGAAGTTACAATCTAGGTCAGTTCTTGCTTGAACTTACTCTTTAGTTTTAACTAATGTCTACAATATTTGTAAGGTGAAGCTGTTTCCCCCCCCAAGATTTATGTATGGTTACATAATTGAAATATGTTTCTGCTAAGCTGTAATTGTTATTACAATAGGAAAAGAAAATAGCCACTA